AGGGAAAAACAGCAGGACCCGGAGAAAAATCCACGCTACCACAGGGAGAATATGCAAACTTCAAATATACAGGCACCAGGGTAGCGGATTTAACCTACGACCTCCTGCATACCAGGCGAGGTAGTTAACATCTCACCACCGTGGCGCCACTGACAATTACTCAGTTGGGATCACACGAAGCAGCAACATTGCGCCCTGCTGTGAAAACTTGGCAGGATCCTCCTGAAACAAGAGTTGTGAAGCGTCTCTGGTTTAACAAGCATCATCATAATAATAATGGATGTCGTGCTTTTGTTTGTCTTGGATAGGGAGACGTTACTCATCTCGATGTGTGTCCGACTGTATTGGCTCCGTCTTATTAATGCTCTCACCATGCCTCATTAACACTGCCCTGACTTATGATTCGGGATAAGGACAAATGTTTCCTGTAAATACAGCTCTGGCTGTGCAGAATGCCATTGTTTATTGAAACTGCCAAATCTCTAGGGCTTTCAAGAGTTCCGTTACTGAAATTTACAATAAATCTCTGATGGAAAAAACAGCTAAATGGGTTTGTGTGTGTGTGTGAGCCGCGAGGCCTGCTTGCCATCTTTCTGTGAGTGTGTGTGTGACCAGCTAGACCTGCTTGCCATCTTTGCTTGGCCCAGCGAGTATGAGAGAAACGCATCAAGGCCCTCTTCCCGTTGATTTGTGCGGACAAAGTTTCCTTCTGGCCAACGAAAGGGCTTTTGTCGTTATTTAGCTAGCAGCGTATTCCAGCAAGCCCATGCAGCTTTTTATATATTAACATTCTTAAATGTTCAAGTCGCCAATAAAAGGAACGTTAGTGGGGTGGTTTTTCATTTGTTTTGTTTTGCGCATTTTCCCATGCGGCTTAAAATGTAAGTAAGGGCTGCAAGGGTTTGTGATAATAAAAAAAAGTACCCTTTGACGAAGTAACCTTGACTTGTTTCGCATAATAAAAAAAAACACCCACACGTCAGATGCCGACTGCATTGCGGTTGAGCAAGTTGGTATTTGAAGCACGGTTTGTTTTTTTCTCGTCAGGCCCAAAGGCACCGAAACGGCCGGCAAGAAACAGCACCGTCAACGTTGTAACCGGACAGGAGAGAGTGTGAATCGTTCGTGGAATTGAACGACAGTTGTTGTGAGACGCCTGTAGAAAGGGATAGATGGGAGGCTTCATTCCGACGTTAAGCGGGAAAGAAGCAGACCGACAAGCGGCCGGTGTGACTCGTAGTGGGTGAACGCGGTGCGGATGAGACGAGAGGGTCAGGTCTTCGGTGACCGGGGTTGAGGAATCGATGTGTCCAGTTCACAGGCACGACAACCGCGGTAGTTCTAGATTTGAAGCTTTCGTGACTGCAATGATTCATACTCTTCGGTTTTTTTCGGTAAAGTCACGTAGGTAAAAATAAATAATGAAAAAATAAAAAATAATAGAAATAAAATAATAAATCACGACGTTTCGCAGGCAACACAAGTCAGCTGTGACGGTCCCACCTGATGACGGAGACTTGCGTTGCCTCCAAAACGTCGTGATTTATTATTTTATTTCAATTATTATTAATTTTTTATTATTATTGTTTATTTTATTATTATTTATTTTTAACCGCGGTAGCGGCGATAGCACGGTGATGAAGAGGAGGCGACTTGACCAGCGGTGAGCGAGTGATAGGAGAGTGACGTAGGAACTGGGGATGCTCCATCCCCGATGTGACGGCCGAAGGATTGCAGCTGAGGCCGAACTTGTACTTTGTACAGCTGCAGTCGGAAGACTTCATGATTGAAGAGCGAGGCTTTGGCACGGAACAGAACAACACGCTTTTTTGATACCTCTAACTTACCCAAATCTCGATTGAAAGCTTTCGTGACTGCAGGGATTAATATTATTGGTTCTTTCGGTAAAGTCACGTAGAAGGGAAATAATAAAATAATAAAAATAAAACAAAATTCTCACGACGTTTCGATTGCAACACAAGCAATCATCATCAGGTGTGAAAACCACAGCAAGAAAATGTTCTTGCTGTCGCTTTCACAAAAATGTCTTGCTGTGGTTTTCACACCTGATGATGATTGCTTGTGTTGCAATCGACATATGTCTTCAAAAGGAAATTGCAGTGCGCTTGCATAGGCTTTAACATATTTAATACAACTATGCACGTTGGCTACATATGATATCCATGTTTTTTCAAATGTCGATGCCGTGTAAAACAATAAGCACACCCAAAGCAGCATTTACTTTATGCTAGCAGAAGCAACAAATTAATTTCAACGGGCAATGTTAAATAGGGAAAAAAAATAGATGATTTAGTTTCTCCATTGGAACCTCATTTGCCAGTAGAAAAATATGATAATTGGCTTTTTACCCTTTCATCTGGCAACAAAACTGACACCTTTTTTTACAAGGAGTCATGTTTGCATAGACCACAATATCTGCAGTCGTAATGTTGCCAGATGAAAGGGTAAAAAAACAATTATCATATTTTTCTACTGGCAAATGAGGTTCCAATGGTGTAAATGCTTACCCCGAGCTCTCATGCTCTGATGGTGCATTGTCTTTGAGTTGTGCGCCTTTTGGCGTCATCTGGTCCAACACCATGTGAGACTAGGCTCTAAGGAAAGCTGTCTCGGGTGTGGACCAATCAACTTCGAGGACAGTGCATACATTATCAGAGTTGTGTTTTTTTGTTTGCATTACGACTGCAGGTATTGTGGTCAATGCAAACATGACTCCTTGTAAAAAAAGGTGTCAGTCTTGTTGCCAGATGATTTATTTTCTGTTTACCTGAATTGAGCCTCACTTCTGTTGACCCTCCTCGTGAACATTGAGAATGTGGTGACAAGTGTTGCTGGCAATTCCACTTGAAGTGGCAGTCCATTGATGATTCTGCTTGCTCCCTTCGGTGGCAGGAAATTCACGAAGCAGGAGAGAGGTTTGGGAAAGGTGACAGCAAGTTTAGCGGAGTCTTCTAAGTCCCGTCTTAAAACATATTTGGTTTTACGTGTGTACCCCGTCTGTGTAGGTTTTATGCCTTTCATATTGTTTGTGTAACCTGTTCATCCCTTCTACGTGACTTTACCGAAAGAACCAAGAAGACTAAACACATTCGTCAATAACGAGGTGTAATATAATTGGGTAAAAGCGCGAAGCAACATTGGCCTCGACTACCAGACTTTACTCGTCTGGATCACAGAGCGCCTCCGTGGTGACCTTGACATAAGAATGGGGCGAATTGCGAACCGTTTAAAATTATGAATTGTTGCGTCATACACACGCAGGTGATTGTGACGCAGCGAGCGAGCGACTTGTTCGAGTTGTAACTCCGCCACGTTGCTGGCAGCTTGTTCACGAACTCGATCTTGAGTTCCCGAAGAAGCTCCCAGCACGCGGAACGAAACGTCGGACATCGTGGCGAAACAAAACAAAAACACCAGACGGGACTACCCGAGAACGCGGGGGAGAGCATCACAGCAGCAACATAACCGCGACAAACCCCTACACAGAAGCCTCCATAATAAGCACTATTATGACCCCCTTAGGGACAGAACAATAATAATGTGCACTTCTAAGCTTTGACACTAATTTGAGTGTTAAGAACTCCGCTTAGTTCTTGTTATGATGCGTTTGTTTGTGTGTGTATTTCTCCACGAGACCCCACGCACCGATGAAATGATATGATCACTAATTAGAACTATAAATAAATATAATTTCCTAACAGTAATGACCCTTAGTCTTGATTAGCAAAGATATAATGTTCAATTTAAATGGCTTTGTACTGGGAGATGAGTGTGATACGCTCGTCAACGATGTTTTTGCTTTGCTTTCCCATTGCTGTGTAAACGAGGTCAGAAGGGTAAGAAGTCGTCATAATTGCTGTGTATGTTGAACTTCTTTCGCACCATACATAGCCAACCGCGCTAATCGGAGCTGCAGTACAACGCAGAACAATGGTTCAATGCTGTACAATTCAGTACTGCATTGTTTCAATGCAGTACAAGGGAATTCTAGATTTGAAGCTTTCGTGACTGCAAGGATTCATACTCTTAGTTTTTTCGGTAAAGTCACGTAGGTTAAAAATGAAATTAAAATTAATAAAAATAAAATAATAAAAAATCACGACGTTTCGGAGGCAACACAAGTCTCCGTCATCAGGTGGGACCGTCACAGACAGATTTTCTGCATCACCTGATGACGGAGACTTGTGTTGCCTCCGAAACGTCACTTGATACAGCAAATCTGGCTGTGACGGTCCCACCTGATGACGGAGACTTGTGTTGCCTCCAAAACGTCGTGATTTTTATTATTTTATTTTTATTAATTTTAATTTCATTTTTTACCTACGTGCCTTTACCGAAAAAACTAAGAGTACAGAGTGTACTCCTCTCCCGAGCGCATATTGAAGCGCTTAACGAGAAAGAATATAAATAATATACAACGTTTCAGGCAATGGCCCTTCATCATGACAGAGAGAATAAAAATTAACCCGTAAAAACAAAGTTTTTCACTATAAATCCTTTATATGCGTGGCATCGGTTTTATTTTATTATTCATTTCTGTTTTTCTTGAGTAAGAGTTTCATTTTTATCACATTGGTATTTTAAATTAAATATGAAATGTTTTTTTTCCTAAAAAGTGGAAAATTTTGGAAAAAAATTTTCACGAAAATAATTTGTCATGCACAACGAGTCTGTGTGCAAAATGTCAGCTCGATTGGATCACGGGAAGTGAGTTAAAAAACGACCGAAATATTTACATGGTCGTAAGCACGCAAGCAAGCAAGCAAGTGAACTTAATATAAAGGATTTAAAAATGGCAATTTGCTGCAATGTCGCCCATTGCGTACGCATTTTTCGCTTCACAGCACTTGTTACGGACGTGTCGATTTTAAATTGTTTTAGTTATTTGTCCTAAATGCACCGCTGCCAATGAATGCGGTATCACACACACGCACACAAATGTTTGGCTAACGTTCCGTTTAACTCTCTTGTCGTTCAAGCCACGGAAATGAAGAAGAAGAATATAAACAACAACTCGCCACGATTCGGACGGCTCTTTCTCACCGGCGGTGTCTCGAGACCGGCCGCGGATTTCCGAGGCGCGTACGAAAGAGAAAGCGGCGGCGGCGGCGGCAGCGCTCGGCAGGCCGATCAAATCCGCCTGCCGCATCCGCAGCCGTGGCGGACCCTCGAGGGCACGGCGAGACACAAGCCCGTGTCGGGCCGGGCCAAGCTGTCCGCGCGAATATTCGCGGAAGAGCCACGGCGCCGCGTCGGGGAGGTCGCGACCGCGGACGGCTCGAGCAGAACGCCCGGCACGGAGGGCGAGGAGGAGGAGAAGACGCCGCAGCAGCAGAGGAGAGCCGCCACGCTCTTGCAGAGGCGGCTGGGGATCGCGGACTCGGGTCTCGTTTGAAGCCCTCCGCCGTCGAGATGATGGCGGAGAGAGATGTTAACTCCCTCGCCTGGTATGCAGGAAGTCGTGTGTTCGATCCCGATCCTGACGTCTGCTGTGTATTTGGAGTTTGCGGTGTCTCTCTCTTTCTAATCATGATCACGGTGGCTATGAGATGTTAACTCCCTCGCCTTGTATGCAGGAGGTCGTGGGTGCGATCCCGACCCTGATGCCTGCAGTGTATTTGGAGTTTGCGGTGTCTCTCTCTTTCTCATCATGATCACGGTGGCTATGAGATGTTAACTCCCTCGCCTGGTATGCAGGAGCGCGTGGGTTCGATCCCGACCCTGACGTCTGCTGTATATTTGGAGTTTGCAGTGTCTCTCTCTCATCATGATCACGGTGGCTAGGAGATGTTAACTCACTCGCCTGGTATGCAGGAGGTCGTGGGTTCGATCCCGACCCTGACGTCTGCTGTGTATTTGGAGTTTGCGGTGTCTCTCTCTTTCTCATCATGATCACGGTGGCTAGGAGATGTTAACTCCCTCGCCTGGTATGGAGGAGGTCGTGAGTTCGATCTCGACCCTGACGTCTGCTGTATATTTGGAGTTTGCAGTGTCTCTCTCTCATCATGATCACGGTGGCTAGGAGATGTTAACTCACTCGCCTGGTATGCAGGAGGTCGTGGGTTCGATCTCGACCCTGACGTCTGCTGTGTATTTGGAGTTTGCGGTGTCTCTCTCTTTCTCATCATCATCACGGTGGCTATGAGATGTTAACTCCCTCGCCTGGTATGGAGGAGGTCGTGAGTTCGATCTCGACCCTGACGTCTGCTGTGTATTTGGAGTTTGCGGTGTCTCTCTCTTTCTCATCATCATCACGGTGGCTATGAGATGTTAACTCCCTCGCCTGGTATGGAGGAGGTCGTGAGTTCGATCTCGACCCTGACGCCTGCTGCTGAATATTTGGAATTTGCGTGTCACTGTCTCTCTCCGTGTTCGCGTGGATTTTTTCTCTGGGTCCTCCGTTTTTTTTCCTTCCACATTTAGAACCAACGTGCATTTAGGGTATTTGCCTTCTATACATTTGCACGTGATCAGCCACTTCGTTGAGCAGCACTCATTTGTGATCGCCAGGTCGCTTCTGAAGAAGAGCCATATAGCTCAGTAGGCCTTACCTGCTAAAATAAAAAATAAAAAATTCGTCGTTTTTTTATTATAGATTTCCCAGAATCTCCTTGCACGGCCCTCAGTGTCGGGACAGCGGCCCGCGCTGGTCTCTTCCACGTTTGTTTATCCGAGCGCGAAATGTCGTCAACGTGCTTGGAGCCGCAGCGGTGTAATGGTCAGCGCGCTCGACTTAAAAGAGGCCAAAGGTTCCAATCAAGCATCCGGCGCAGTAGTTGATGCATTCGGAAAGTTTGTTAAACTCTCACCCCCCCCCGCCCCCACGTTCCTTTGCTGATGACCTCTCAGCGGTTTAACGGAGGACACCACGGATAGTCGATCGGCAGGGGTTGTTTGTGTGTTTGTGGGGAGCGGTGGTGTAGCGGTTAGCGCGCTGCGCTATGAACCCGGCGACTAGGCCTCGGCAAGGTAAGGTAATTTACCCTTTTTACCGGGTAAAAGGGTAAAGATAAACGTGTCGACATGCCAATGGGTAAGGGTAAAGGGTAGGGTAAAGGTAGACTCGTTGCTTTTTACCTTATACCTTACCTGCTAAAGGGTAACAGGTAGGGTAGAGTGATTGTATTTTGGTAAGGTAAAAGGTAGGGTAAAGGTAGGCTCGTTTTTTTAACACTTTTACCTTACCTTGCCGAGGCCTACCGGCGACCCCGAGTTCAATTCCCGCTCACGGCCAACACCAGTGACGATTTTCTGAACCGGTCCTGGGCCTCTCCTAGGTCGACTCAGCCTCAAATGAGTAACCCGCACCATGTGTAAACATCGTCACTGGGGAGACAAAGGCGGCCGGGCGTGGTGCTGGCCACTCACCCCCCTCGTGCGCCGTGCCGGCCTTCATAGGTGCTCGCTAACAGCACTTGCCCCAACAGTCTGTTAAGGCTATAGGGGTATCTATGTCATTGTTGTTGATGTGTAGTGTGGGTTACTCATACTTTCCCCAGACGTCTGGCCAGTGCAGAGGAAGAGTAGGCCAAACGTTCCTTGAAATGGGCCTCTCGCGAGCTCCCTCCAGCGGGGGCCACTTGTGCCAGCGGTGGCGCGAGCCAAGCACTTGCAGGGTTGCGCCTTTAGTCCTTGGAGCCCGATGCATCTGCGCGTTTTTTTTTTATTAAAGGAGTCTTTCGTGCCTTTCGTGGACATTTGATAAAAATAAATGTTGCTTTATCGATAGCGAGCGTGAGTGATGTAAGCTTGATTTTCTGTGATGTGCAAGAAATTAACGTGAGAAATCGTAAGGTGTAAGAATTGTTTGCTTGGTAAAAGAATCATGCCTGCCGTATGAACAATAATGTACCGATCTATAAAGATAGCAATACAATGTTGGACATCCTTTGCCTATACTGAGTGTTTATATATATTGGGAGATTGCACGGTAACAGAATTACCAGGCCAACGTAGGTGCGTTAGTCACGGAGATGAAATTGTCTCGATGCGCATCACACTGCTCTGTGTAATTCCGTTACCGTCGAATACGACTTCATGCACTTGCACGTACATTGTACGGATTCCCGTCTGTCTTTACGATTTATTTTCATTGAATCTCTTTGCTAAGACTTATAAATAATGGTATAAGCATTTTTTTGATGTGCTGAATAAACTGTACTGCTGTTCTAGATTTGAAGCTTTCGTGACTGCAAGGATTTATACTCTTAGGTTTTTTCAGTAAAGTCACGTAGGTAAAAAATAAATAAAAGTAAAAAATAAATCAATAATAGAAATAAAATAATAATAAATGAAAATAAATTAATTAAATCACGACGGTTTGGAGGCAACACAGACGGTGACTTGTGTTGCCTCCGAAATGTCGTGATTTAATTGATTTATTTTCATTTATTATTATTTTATTTCTATTATTATTTTTATTTTACCTACGTGACTTTACCGAAAAAAACCTAAGAGTATATACTGCTGTTATTTTAGCAACGGTTTGACCACGGTGATGAATGAGCCATTGTCTATCCACTGCTAGATGAAAGCCACTCGATTGCTTGTTGCCTTGCCTCCTGATCCGTGGTGGCGAGATGTTCACTACCTCGCCGGGTACGCAGGAGGCCGTGGGTTTGATCCCGACCCTGACGCCTGCTGCCGTATATTTGGAGTTTGCGTCTCTCTCCCCGCGGTCGCGTGGATTTTTTCTCCGGGTCCTCCGGTTTTTCCCTCCACATTTAGAATCGTGCGTTTAGAGTATTTGGCTGATGTACATGTCCACGTGATAATAAGCCACTTCGCTAAGCTACCATTTGTAGCGAGGTCGCTTCTAAAAAAGAGATGTGGGCCTTGCCTGGTCAAATACATATTTTTTAAGTTTAAATAGTTTTACACAGTTTAGTTTGATCATGTGATGTTACAATCATTCTTGCTCGTGCACATGAGCTTGATCTTATCCGTCACGTATATGCAATATCAATGCCACGTGAATGTATGCGTGTAGACTTTGTACGATTGTATGCGGAGCAATTCTCGTAAGACTGTATTCCAAATAAATTCCAAACTGAAATTCAATTGTGTACCGAGAGTAAGATGCCTTTATTTTTTAATTATACTTTGTTTCATACATTACTGTAAACACACAGTATACCGTACAGGGGAGAGAAAAAAAAACTGTCGTAGTTACGAAAAGTATATAAATTGTAAAATACAAATTTAAAACGTATATTTCCATTATTCGATTATATATATTTTTTTCATTCATTGAGATACAACAAATATATTAAAACAGCAATTCGTATTATGGCAACACGATATAAAATGAAAAATAAAACGTACGTTTGTCATTAAGTACTGTACATACATTTGTGATATAAATACATGTAACAGGTAGAGCCGTAGAGCAATAACAACAGAGCCACATGTACAACGGGTAATCAACCTTCGACACTATATACACAGGGCAAACACTTTGAGGGTGATTGTATTTCTGATGTTCGTGTTTCCAATTCGCTTGCACATTCCTTGGCCTCGGTTGTTCTTTGGATATCTTAAGTGGGATCTAAACGCGTCAGTCTTATTCATCCATCGGGCGAGCACCAACCGTGCGGAGACGTCGCATTTCACGTTTGGGGTTAGATAGCCGCGTCAGTAAAAGCGTGTGTGCTGTGTGTGTGTCGTGCACCCTCCTCCACCCGACGCAGCCAATCGATAAATCCGTCGCGCGACGAACCAACGCGCCGCGCCGGTGTATCACCGCTTTAGCAACAGAGCACGGTGAGCGATGTACCAAAACTCGTGTTGCCACAAGACCCACTTTTCCCCGGTGAAATCTATGTTCCCCGGGACGTTCAATTCCTTTGTTGCCCAATTTCTGTCGGTCGAGGAATAATAATAATAAGACAGCACTGCCAGCCAACGCTCACACACATTGGGGTTTGCTCTCTTCCCCCTCTCAATGCATTGTCAGATATTCTTCGTCTTTTTGCGACAATGATATGTGCCGGTTATTTTGCCCCTCTAAAGGTGGCAACCCAAACCGTGCACCTGGGTGCCGAGTCATCGCGGCGTGTTTTCCGCTGGGCGGTGTTGGGACGGTGAAGTGTGCCGGTGCACACCCTCAGTGAGAACCTCCATGAGAAATTGACGATGTTAATCACGTCGTTTTTTCCCCCGTGACATTTATGCCCATAGTCACTTTAATATGTTTTCTTGTTCATGTTTTTGTTTTTTGTTTGTTGCGGTTGCACCCGATTCAAGAGCAAGAATGGCTCACAGGGCTATACCTAATAAATGAAACTGAAACTGAAATGATTCCCAATCATAGCAAACATCAGTACCTGGTGCAGTGTGTATAAGCTTCAGCGCTTGGGGAGACAAAGGCGGCCGGGGTTATGCTGGCCAAACCGCTGCCTCGTGCGCCGTGCCAAACTTCATAGGTGCCACAGGCTAACAGCACTTGCCCCACCCACCCCCCACGCATTCTGTCAATCTATGGGACTGTGCGAGTCTATGGGATTGTGCGAGTCGATGGGATTGTGGAGTCTATGGGATTGTGCGAGTCTATGGGATTGTGGAGTCTATGGGATTGTGCGAGTCTATGGGATTGTGCGAGTCTATGGGATTGTGGAGTCTATGGGACTGTGCGAGTCTATGGGATTGTGCGAGTCTATGGGATTGTGGAGTCTATGGGATTGTGGAGTCTATGGGACTGTGCGAGTCTATGGGATTGTGCGAGTCTATGAGACTGTGCGAGTCTATGAGACTGTGTGAGTTTATGGGATTGGGCGAGTCTATGGGATTGTGCGAGTCTATGGGATTGTGGAGTCTATGGGGCTGTGCGAGTCTATGGGGCTGTGCGAGTCTATGGGATTGTGCGAGTCTATGGGACTGTGCGAGTCTATGGGGCTGTGCGAGTCTATGGGGCTGTGCGAGTCTATGGGATTGTGCGAGTCTATGGGATTGTGTAGTCTATGGGATTGTGCGAGTCTATGGGATTGTGGAGTGTATGGGACCTTGCGAGTCTATGGGATTGTGCGAGTCTATGGGACTGTGCGAGTCTATGGGACTGTGCGAGTCTATGGGATTGTGCGAGTCTATGGGATTGTGCGAGTCTATGGGACTGAGCGAGTCTATGGGATTGTGCGAGTCTATGGGATTGTGCGAGTCAATGGGACTGGGCAAGTCTATGGGATTGTGCGAGTCTATGGGATTGTGTGAGTCTATGGGATTGTGCGAGTCTATGGGATTGTGGAGTGTATGGGACCTTGCGAGTCTATGGGATTGTGCGAGTCTATGGGACTGTGCGAGTCTATGGGGCTGTGCGAGTCTATGGGATTGTGCGAGTCTATGGGATTGTGCAAGTCTATGGGACTGTGCGAGTCTATGGGGCTGTGCGAGTCTATGGGATTGTGCGAGTCTATGGGACTGTGCGAGTCTATGGGATTGTGCGAGTCTATGGGACTGTGCGAGTCTATGGGGCTGTGCGAGTCTATGGGATTGTGCGAGTCTATGGGATTGTGGAGTGTATGGGACCTTGCGAGTCTATGGGAATGTGCGAGTCTATGGGACTGTGCGAGTCTATGGGAATGTGCGAGTCTATGGGACTGCGAGTCTATGGGGCTGTGCGAGTCTATGGGATTGTGCGAGTCTATGGGGCTGTGCGAGTCTATGGGGCTGTGCGAGTCTATGGGATTGTGCGAGTCTATGGGGCTGTGCGAGTCTATGGGGCTGTGCGAGTCTATGGGGCTGTGCGAGTCTATGGGATTGTGCGAGTCTATGGGGCTGTGCGAGTCTATGGGGCTGTGCGAGTCTATGGGATTGTGGAGTGTATGGGACCTTGCGAGTCTATGAGATTGTGCGAGTCTATGGGACTGCGAGTCTATGAGACTGTGCGAGTCTATGGGGCTGTGCGAGTCTATGGGATTGTGCGAGTCTATGGGACTGTGCAGTCGATGGTTATGCAAATCACTGGTGACCAGATATAGGCTATCGGTTCGCTAGGCTTGAGAACTCCGGTTGCCAGGTTGGTTGTGTGGTATGCTAACCACTTTGACAACCGCTCCCCATTTGAATTTTGAGCCGATGTGTATCTCGACCTTCTTTTACTTTCATTGATCTGAAGTCCCTTGGACCCACGTGGGGCCCTGAGCGTTTGCTTGGTTTGCTTGGGCCCAGCGCCGTCAAAGGGCTCGGTGGCTCCGCCGTTAAAGAAGCTTTCAAATTCTAGATTTGAAGCTTTCGTGACTGCAAGGATTCATATTCTTAGGTTTGTTCGGTAAAGTCACGTAGGTAAAAAATTAAAATTAATAAAAGTAAAATAAAATAGCTGTATCAAGTAACTCTCACTTGATACAGCAATCGTACTGTGACTGTTCCACCTGAAGACGGAAGCTTGTGTTGCCTCCGAAACGTCGTGATTTTTATTTTATTTTTATTTTACTTTTATTAATTTTAATTTTTTACCTACGTGACTTTACTGAAAAAACCTAAGAATATGAAAGCTTTCAAATTCCACGTCAGGATTTTTCAGTCTGGTCTCAGGTTTGACGGGTCCTCGATAGAGCCGAACTGAATATAGCAACGAGTAATTACCTGAACATTACTTGGCTGAAAGCATCTTTATACGTGCATATATATAGAGGACTGCAGAACTCGGGCAATCATTGGTGTGGCCGGCTTCTCGCTTGTCTGTGGCTCCCATCATTAATTGTGAGGTTGCAATTTGCACGAGTGCGTGACGGCGATGTATTAAATGAAACATTTTCTGTTTGTTTTCAAATATATTTTTACACTGGATCCCTGCGCTCGCAATATGTGGAATCCATCACGTGAACTGGGTTTCATTATTGACGGAATGTTCCCTCGCGACCCTCAGAAAACCAACCTCCCGGTGACCCCCGTATCATCTGCCTCACGTTATACTCCTCAGCATTTCCTCCCCCCCGTAGAACGGCGCTTAGTCAATGTAATTCATCGTTATTTTTGTTAACGTCAAAATATGTTCCAGGATGCTCCAACTGAAATTTAGCGCTGCGTGTAACAACTGGATGATACATTATTTAAGGTGCAAATAATACACATGCAAAGCCCCCATGCTTTAAAACGTAACCGTGATCCCGAATTGTGCTAATTTATGGAATCAAGAAGGCAGAAACCATTACAATTAAGTCCCAGGATGAATGCACCAATGCTGGAAGTCCACTGGAAACTACATGGGATGTGTGTGACCATCTGATGACGAAGCCACTGCATTCTACATGAGTTTATGGGTCTCTGTGTAACTGCATTGGTCCCTGTGTGAGTCTATGGGTCCCTATGTCAGTATATGGGTCCCTGTGTGAGTGTATGAGTCTCTATCTTTCTATATTGACTCCTGTGTGAGTCTATGGGTCTCTATGTCAGTATATGGGTCCCTGTGTGAGTTTAAGGGTCTCTGTCTGATTCTATGGATGTATGTATGTCTATGGGGCTCTGTGTAGGCTGGTTATAATTACAGGTGAAACGTCACAGCACTCGAATTGTAAATGTTGTGGGTTTACTCTCCAACACACCGTTGTGCTGTACTAGTAACGAAATGGTCTGTTGTGTTAACGTGACAAAGCTTAATCATTGGCTGTGTCGGGTGGTGGCGGGTTTAATGACACATTTATATTTATACGATCTAACCAAAAAACACCCCTCCATTATGGATTCTGTGTACGTCTTAGGGTCTCCATGCGACCCCGTGGGGTCTCCATGCGACCCCGCGGGGTCTCCATGCGACCCCGTGGGGTCTCCATGCGACCCCGCGGGGTCTCCATGCGACCCCGCGGGGTCTCCATGCGACCCCGCGGGGTCTCCATGCGACCCCGTGGGGTCACCATGCGACCTCGTGGGGTCTCCATGCGAGCCCGTGGGGTCACCATGCGACCCCGTGGGGTCTCCATGCGAGCCCGTGGGGTCACCATGCGACCCCGTGGGGTCACCATGCGACCCCGTGGGGTCACCATGCGACCTCGTGGGGTCTCCATGCGAGCCCGTGGGGTCTCCATGCGACCCCGTGGGGTCACCATGCGACCCCGTGGGGTCTCCATGCGACCCCGTGGGGTCACCATGCAAGCCCGTGGGGTCACCATGCGACCCCGTGGGGTCACCATGCGACCCCTTGGGGTCACCATGCGACCCCGTGGGGTCTCCATGCGACCCCGTGGGGTCTCCATGCGACCCCGTGGGGTCTCCATGCGACCCCGTGGGGTCTCTATGCGACCCCGTGGGGTCTCCATGCGACCTGTGGGGTCTCCATGCGACCCCGTGGGGTCTCCATGCGACCCCGTGGGGTCTCCATGCGACCCGTGGGGTCTCCATGCGACCCCGTGGGGTCACCATGCGACCCCGTGGGGTCACCATGCGAGCCCGTGGGTCTCTACGTGAGACAGACAATGGACAATGAAGCCACTGAGAGCTCGTCCATGATTTGACCCGCACGCGTCGTCGCCTGAGATTGGGAAAAAATACCCGAGACAGACTTTGTGGCCTAATTCTAGATTTGAAGCTTTCGTGACTGCAAGGATTCATACTCTTAGGTTTTTTCGGTAAAGTCACGTAGGTGAAAAATATTTAAAAAATATAAATAATAATACAAATAAATTTATAAATCACATTATTTTATTTCTATTATTATTTCTATTATTTTTATTTTATAAAAAATCACATTATTTTATTTCTATTATTATTTCTATTATTTTTATCTTTTATTTTTTACCTACGTGACTTTACCGACAAAACCCAAGAGTACTTTGTGGCCTACTCAACCTCGAGCCACCATCGCTGCATGTCCCTGGTTGGTGCAGTGGGTTATGAAGTGTGACTCTTAATTAGAAACGTACAAGTTAAAATCCTGCTCAGGGTTCGACTTGGCACTTCCTTTCCCCCTGTTCGAAAAAAAAATCCATCAGTGGTTGTCCCATAGATTAATTCGCCTTAGTCAAAGGCATGTGGAATTTCCACCACTGGCTCTCGCTCCACACTGAATATTTGTGTCTATAACTATTGTTAATACTATTTGCGAGTACCTTTTATTGTGTATATGCAGCGTACCTCCACACATTCATTATAATCTAAATCCTGATATGTCTCCTTAGCGAATTACAATACATATTAGCATTTTAATACATTTATTATCTTCCCCCAACCTGATGCAAACTCTGCTTATTGGAATCACGGCACGAGACCCTTCCATTTTGGACAACGGCCTGCAGAAGCGGACACCACAGAGCTAGCTCTGAGAACCCTTCAGCTGATCTCTGGTACATCGACACAGCAGCAGAGGGCAGCGCCTCTCCCGCCCGCTCTGCACATGAGAGTGATGTTTGTCGCACGGCGGTCAAAATCAACGTTTAAGTTCTCACGGCTGGAATGTTTTGCCAAAATGAAGCGCACAACCAAATGTCGTGTGATGGAAAATTGTTGTTGTTGTTGTTGTTGCTGTGCAGTCATTGATAACGGGACCATTAACTCGCCTGAGTACACGGTTTAATCACAACCGTGTCTTTGCAAATGTATTGGTCTCCATGCGAGTCTTTGGGTCTTCATGTAAGTCTATGGGTCTCAATGTGAGTCTATGGGTCTCCTTGTTAATCTACGGGTCTCTCTGTGAGTATATGGGTCTCTATGTGAGTCTATGGGTCTCAATGTGAGTCTATGGGTCTCTATGTGAGTCTACGGGTCTCTATGTGAGTCTATGGGTCTCTATGTGAGACTATGGGACTCTATGTGAGTATATGGGTCTCTATGTGAGACTATGGGTCTCTATGTGAATCCATGGGTCTCCTTCTGAGTCTATGGGTCTCTATGTGAGTATATGAGTCTCTAGGTGAGTCTATGGGTCTCTGAGAGTACATGGGTCTCTACGTGAATTAATGATGATTGGGGTGAGACTATCAACCTCACTGAGGTTCGGTGCGGACTCAGCGCTCTGATCTCTGAGCCATCCAGCCACCTTCGATTGCCCCAAACAATTTATCACAATCGTGCAACGTGCCAAATTGTAATCGTTACATCCGCGTGCACAACAACAACAACAACAAACAACCCCCTGATAATTTCCCAATTTAACAATAAACAGTTTTTTCCCCCCAGAGTCTGCAAGTGCCTGACCTCGTCGCTTTTGCCCAAGGTAAGTTCACGGTTTGAGACTCACGCGTTCGCAAGCAGCGCTTCTCGAAGGAGGTCAGCAGTTTAAAAAGGAAAAACAAAGATAAACATTTAAACCAAAGCTTCCCAGAGCCCTTGACAAACTCCCAACAGCTTCTTTTATCAGCCGAATACGGGTCCCACTATGCAAACCATCAGCCAAGTAATTTTTTGTTTCAATATTTCCTACCCCCCTACCCCCTACCCCCCCCACAGTGGCATGAGCGGCACAAGTTGTGATGAAGAGCAGCAGTACACGTGGAGTTTAAACTTCACAGCACCATCGACTGCTCCACCGCCATCTCACTTTCGTCCTCACGAGTCGCCGCGCGGCGCTGACGGATGCGCCACCCATCCAGCCGCCAGCCCCCCCCCCACTCCCCCCCGCCCCCCCCCCGCACACCCACCGTGACCCCCACCAACTCGCACCGCCCGTTACCTGATGCGAGGCCGCTATATCGACAGCCAGTGCTGCATCTGAAAGTGAGACAAAGAGAGAGGTGATGTTTAGTGACCGCGAGCGACGAGCGGACGGGCGAGCCAAGGAACTCGTGGCTGAGAGAACAAGGGCGCTTGGCTCGGCTGAGAGAACGAGGGCGCTTGGCTCGGCTGAGAGAACGAGCGCATTTCAATCGGCTACGACGCTCCGTGCGTAAACTTTGGAGAGAGAGAACACGTAAACCCTCGACTCATGTTGACTTCGCTGTTGTCATCACAGCCTCAATTGGCCTATTGGGTGCCACGGTGGCGAGGTGTTAACTGCCTTGCCTGGTCTAGAGGATATCGTGGGTTCAATCCCGACCTTGACGCCTGCTCTACATGTGGAGTTTGCATGTCCCCGTGGTCGCGTGGAGTTTTCCCCGGGTTCTCTGGGTCTTCCGGTTCTCCCCTCCACATTTAGAAACGCGCATTGAAAGTATTTGCCTGCTGCTATACATTTCCACGTGTTAAGCCATTCGTCGAGTGATCATTTGTGGCCAGGTCGCTTCTGAAAAATAGCTACATATCTTAGTGGGCCTTACCTGGTAAATAAAAAAGATTAGTTTAGTTGTAGTTTAATCCTTTCACCCAATTTGATCTCGATCGTGTTACTGGCGTCACATGACCAGATAAAAAAAAATTATCCATTCATTTCCCTCACAGAGCGGTGTGACTCCGTGTTAGAGAACCGCCCGTGGAAGCGGTTATCAAAGAGCTACCTCTGAGATCCCTTCGAGTGACCTCCGGTCCACACGGTAAGGGGCAGCACGTCCAAATCACCGCCCCCTCCACCCCCACCATGCCATCCGCATTAACAAAAAAAGTCCCCGGAGTAAAAAAAAAACATCCGAAATAAATTTCGCACATCTCCCTGGTAACGAGAGATGAGGAACAGCTCCGAGCAGTTCGACTTCTTAGGCGGCACGTGACGACATTCATCCCTTGATGTGCGATCCAACTCCTCTCGGCGGCGGAAACCCACGTTGCGACCACGTGTTGCATGTGCGGGACACAGTGTGGGGGGGGGGGGGGGGCAGCAGCTCAAACTCCAGGGGGGGGGGGAGGGGGTAGAGGAGAGGGATCGGGGGGGGGGGGGGGCTTGTTTATCACATGCGGGGCAAACGGAGACTCGTCATCAGCTTGGCCAGATGTTTCATTTTGTAATTTGCGATAATGATTTGATTAAATTAGCGACGAAACAAGTTCGTGCGCCGGTGCCAGGTGGTTTGTTAAGTCACCGGATCGTGAGAGGTGGTGGTGGCGGCGATGGCTTGGAGACGCTATCATCCAGCAGTGGATCGACCATGGCTGATGATGATGATGATGAAATTAATTTACAGCTTTTCCATGAAATCTCCTGCCGGATCGAAGGCCTCCCCACGCCGTATCGGTCATGTGGATTGTTTGACCATACTTCACCACTCTAGTCAGTATGGGTAGGTGGACATGGTGGTGCGTTGGTGCCCAACACAAATTCAAATATCACTCGCCGCCTAGCCACGGCTGGGAGTCGAACTCAGGTGGCCGGGTTAATAGAGTGCAGGGTGCTAACCACTTCGCCATTGTAGCACCCAATGGCATGGGCATACCGAATTACATTCCGCTGCATCATCCTAAAACTATGTGGGTTATTGCTGGGAGCTGGGGAAACAAAGACGGTCGGGTGTCGTGTTGGCCACCCACCCCCTCGTGTACCGTGCTGGCCTTCATACGAGGTAAGGCCCCACTGGGCTGGATATCTTGTTTTCAGAAGCGAAGTGGCTTATCATCATTTGGAAATGTATAGCAGCAAAATTCTCTAAACGCGGGATATTGACTCTATACTTGAAGGGAGAACATGCAAACTCCAAATACACAGACGTCAGGGTCGGGATCAAATCCACGACCTCCTCCATGCCAAGCGAGCCAGTTAACATCTCACCACCGTGGACTTCATAGGTGCTCGCTAACAGCACTATCCCCAAAAATCTATTCCCGACAGACGGTGGATCATTGTCTTTGTGCGTGCGCGTGTACAGATGTCCCCACAACGTACCTTGAACTGGCGAATCTGCCCCTGTTTAACCAGCGGGTACTCCTTCTCCGGGGTGATGGCGTAAGCAATTTTCTGAAGGAGAGAAAGAAGAATACAAAGAAAAACGGTCACCAACACGGCGCGGCTTGGTGACTTTGCGAGAATGTCACAATAATCCACAGAGCTCGAGGCGCTTTGATGGAGTCGATAAAACGAGTACCACTTTGTGGGCAAGCCAACTGTAATTGTTCAATGGATGGGCTTTCTCCCCCTCCCCCCTCCCCCGCCGCGCCCCGTCCCGCCATAGGAATGTGGAATTTCCACCACTGGCTCTGGGCTGTTAACGGGAGAGGGGCACCAATGCCTCAATGCTCCTTTGAGCCGGAAATGACGTTGACTCTTTTTTTCTAAAGATAAAGGTGCAGCCCTGCAACTGCTCGCTCGCGCCACTGCCGGCGAAAGTGTGCCAGCCAGAGGGAGCCCGAGAGAGCGCCCCCTGAAAGGTATTTTGGATGAAACTCCCTCGCTGGCCAGACAAATGTCTTGCTCGTACCCACACTTTCAAAGACACAAACCCCCCATTCATCCTTAACAGACTGCTGGGGCAAGTGCTGTTCGCGAGCACCTATTAAGGCTGGCACGGCACACGAGGGGGTGGGTGGCCAGCACCACGCCCGGCCAACTTTGTCTTCCCGGTGGCGATGTTTACCCATCGCACCAGGTACTCATTTGAGGCTGAGTCGACCTAGGGGATGCCCAGGGCCGGTTCAGATATAATCGTCGCTGGCATTGGCCGTGAGCGGGAATGGAACCCGGTGCCGCTCCCCACACTTAACCCAACTGCATGAGCGTGACCTGCTGCCGTGTGATTGGGCGCCGTAGCGTCAACCGCCAACGCAGGGAGACCGGGAGTCGAACCGGCGACATCAGGGCGCGAGCCGTCACGGCCGCTGTGGCCTGCGTGTCCTCAAACCAGATGGAGGACCGCTGAGACGCGTGGGGCTGGGGCGTAAAACGCTTGCAGCTGCGCACACACGAACCTCTTGACTTATCTTGCCTTGCGCGACGAAAAAAAACACGATAGAGGGGCTGGGGGGGGGGGGGGATTTGTTGCATGTGGAGTGTCGGCCACGATTTCACGGCGGGCAACACTGCCTCCCCTCCGACAACCCGCTGGGACACAAAGGGGGCTCGCGTTTTTGGTTTTTTGTGCTGAAATTTTCACCGCATGTTGGCCCGGCACTGTCAACCAAAACAGCAACGCAGCTTCTCCCACTGAGGGCCAGCCACGTGTCGCTCACTCGCTCGCTAAGCCAAGCCATAACAAACCTGGTGTGGCTAATATTGTACCACCACTCGCTAAGTCAAGCCAGGGCAAACCTGGTGTGGCTAATATTGTACCACCACTCGCTAAGCCAAGCCAGGGCAAACCTGGTGTGGCTAATATTGTACCACCATTCGCTAAGCCGAGCCAGGGCAAACCTGGTGTGGCTAATATTGTACCACCACTCGCTAAGCCAAGCCAGGGCAAACCTGGTGTGGCTAATATTGTACCACCACTCGCTAAGCCAAGCCAGGGCAAACCTGGTGTGGCTAATATTGTACCACCATTCGCTAAGCCAAGCCAGGGCAAACCTGGTGTGGCTAATATTGTACCACCACTCGCTAAGCCAAGCCAGGGCAAACCTGGTGTGGCTAATATTGTACCACCATTCGCTAAGCCGAGCCATGACAAACCTGGTGTGGCTAATAGTATACCACCACTCGCTAAGCCAAGCCAGAACAAACCTGATGTGGCTACTATTGTACCACCACTCGCTAAGCCAAGCCAACAAACCTGGTGTGGCTAATATTGTACCACCATTTGCTAAGCCAATCCAACAAACCTGGTGTGGCTAATATTGTACCACCACTCGCTCAGCCAAGCCAGGACAAACCTGGTGTGGATAATATTGTACCACCACTCGCTAAGCCAATCCAACAAACCTGGTGTGGCTAATATTGTACCACCACTCGCTAAGCCAAGCCAGAACAAACCTGATGTGGCTACTATTGTACCACCACTCGCTAAGCCAAGCCAACAAACCTGGTGTGGCTAATATTGTACCACCACTCGCTCAGCCAAGCCAACAAACCTGGTGTGGCTAATATTGTACCACCACTCGCTAAGCCAAGCCAGGACAAACCTGGTGTGGCTAATATTGTACCACCACTCGCTAAGCCAAGCCAACAAACCTGGTGTGGCTAATATTGTACCACCACTCGCTAAGCCAAGCCAACAAACCTGGTGTGGCTAATATTGTACCACCACTCGCTCAGCCAAGCCATGACAAACCTGGTGTGGCTAATATTGTACCACCACTCGCTAAGCCAAGCCAACAAACCTGGTGTGGCTAATATTGTACCACCACTCGCTAAGCCAAGCAAGAACAAACCTGATGTGGCTAATATTGTACCACCACTCGCTAAGCCAAGCCAACAAACCTGGTGTGGCTAATATTGTACCACCACTCGCTAAGCCAAGCCATGACAAACCTGGTGTGGCTAATATTGTACCACCACTCGCTAAGCCAAGCCAACAAACCTGGTGTGGCTAATATTGTACCACCACTCGCTATGCCAAGCAAGAACAAACCTGATGTGGCTAATATTGTACCACCACTCGCTAAGCCAAGCCAACAAACCTGGTGTGGCTAATATTGTACCACCACTCGCTAAGCCAAGCCAACAAACCTGGTGTGGCTAATATTGTACCACCACTCGCTAAGCCAAGCCATGACAAACCTGGTGTGGCTAATATTGTACCACCACTCGCTAAGCCAAGCCAACAAACCGTGTGTGGCTAATATTGTACCACCACTCGCTAAGCCAAGCCAGGGCAAACCTGGTGTGGCTAATATTGTACCACCACTCGCTAAGCCAAGCCAGGGCAAACCTGGTGTGGCTAATATTGTACCACCACTCACTAAGCCAAGCCAACAAACCTGGTGTGGCTTATATTGTACCACCACTCGCTAAGCCAAGCCAACAAACCTGGTGTGGCTAATATTGTACCACCACTCGCTAAGCCAAGCCAACAAACCTGGTGTGGCTAATATTGTACCACCACTCGCTAAGCCAAGCCAACAAACCTGGTGTGGCTAATATTGTACCATTACTCGCTAAGCCAAGCCAGGGCAAACCTGGTGTGGCTAATATTGTACCACCACTCGCTAAGCCAAGCCAACAAACCTGGTGTGGCTAATATTGTACCACCACTCGCTAAGCCAAGCCATGACAAACTTGGTGTGGCTAATATTGTACCACCACTCGCTCAGCCAAGCCAGGACAAACCTGGTGTGGCTAATTTTGTACCACCACTCGCTAAGCCAAGCCAACAAACCTGGTGGGGCTAATATTGTACCACCACTCGCTAAGCCAAGCCAACACAAACCTGATGTGGCTAATATTGTACCACCATTCGCTAAGCCAAGCCAACAAACCTGGTGTGGCTAATATTGTACCACCATTCGCTAAGCCAAGCCAACAAACCTGGTGTGGCTAATATTGTACCACCACTCGCTAAGCCAAGCCAGGGCAAACCTGGTGTGGCTAATATTGTACCACCACTCGCTAAGCCAAGCCAACAGACCTGGTGTGGCTAATATTGTACCACCACTCGCTAAGCTAAGCCAGGGCAAACCTGGTGTGGCCGAGTGAATGACGGCTACCGTTCCGCGCGTGGCTGCCTGTAGCCCGACGCTGTGGAGGCAGAAGTGGTGATGGTTGGTGGATCGCCGCACCAGTGTTGCGAATGGTGCCGTCTCAAGGCTTCCCAGGAAATGGCGGTACAGCAAGTGGGATGAACCCTTTCCCGTTCCGATGACGTGCGTGGGTGTACATCATCGTAAGGGAATCGGAAGAAAAGCTGAAATGAAGTACCTTCTTTGGTACCGAGGCTCCCACAAGGCCATGCTGCAGGGTGTGTGGGGGAAGCTTGACACCTGCGATTGTAGAGTGCGACGATCGTGTCGCTACAGTTCTCTGCGGTGAGTACGATGTCTTTAAGAACATCGGCTCTATGCCTCTCATTAAAATTAATGCCGAGCCGCTTGCGCGTTCCGAGATTCAGCGGTGAACGGGACCCCACCCTGCAACTTGGAGACGTTTCCAGCTGTACGGGGATCGAGCATTGCACCCCTCCCCTGGCGCGCATGGGGTTTGTCTGGATACTCCCACCTGTTTAAGCAACTCGTTCACGGAGTTCGCCAAACATACAAACGTAGGGCCACAGAGCTTGGGCAATTGTTAGTCGTGCCGCTTCTGGCTGCCTTACCCTCTCCTCTGAGGTTTCCTTGCGCCTCTGAAACACAAAGGAAACTGTGAAAAGCGTTCCAAACGCATAGCTTTCACATCCGCACATTTGGGCGATAACCACTGTGGTGAAGAGTTGCGGCCAGTTGCTTCGTTCTATATTTATATATATTTTTTGCATCTCACTTCATTGTAGTTTGTCCCCCAGGACTGTGCTCTCGGCTTCGCACGAGACAAAGAATCCGTTCGGGAACGCTCGCAGAGCTACGAGACCCTTCGTGTTGAACAACGTCCCGCAGAAGGGGTTGCCACAGAGCTACCTCTGAGATCCCTCCTCGGAGAGCCACGAGACCTGTCGTGTTGAGCAACGGCCCGCAGAGGCGGAAACCACACTGAGAGCAAAGGTTTGTTTTGTTTCTGAGAGATTGAATACTTCCAGAACTCCAAGTTCTGCACAATCCACGTTTTTTTGTTTACGTAACGCGGGGTTTTAACTTCACTGGTGCGAAAGCGAAGCAATCGCGACCTTTTTAAATAATTTTCACGAGGTTTAACTATCAGCTTGGGTTAGGTGTTGCTGTTCCAAAATAAAATATATCTATTATTTTAATGTTCCACTTCACGATTTAAATGTAAGTACAATGCCTGAAGTCGATTTTGGCTTAATGTGTCGCTTCAATGCTACCCCTACGAGGCTGCATGTGTGTATCAATGTTCAACCTTTCTCGCAACGCACGTAGCAAACCGTACTAATCGCAGGTGCGGGGGAAGGACAACACACGAAACACAAAAAGCCGTTCTAAAATAAATTACTTTTAAATGTAAAAGTTCATAGCTCCAGTGGATTCCTAATATCGGAATGAAGAGCGTTCCAGACGGACCGCAGAAGCGCATCTGGAAGCGCCGTGCGATGCGATGACCAACAGCCTTTGTTTCGATGGCCCAGCCAGAAGCCACTGCTGCTGCCAGGATGAGCGGAGGTCGCGTGATGACGGTTCATGCTCCTTTGACGAGCCAAAAATCGCTGCGGTTGGGGCAGGGTCAGGCCGGTGACGCGGTGAGGACCCAGCCCCGAGCCGAAGTGCAGCGTTCAATCGCCACGTGGGTTTCAAAACGTTCCTGCCGCCTACGACGTTGCTTGCTTTGCTTTTTCTTTTCTTTCTCGCACGCCGTGTTTGTCCACGCCATTTGTGTTCACCCGTCCAGGAATTTCGATTTAAAGCTTTCGTGACTGCAGGGATTCATCTTCTTGGTTCTTTCGGTAAAGTCACGTAGAAGGGAAATAATAAAATAATAAAAATAAAACACTCGTCCAGGAATATTCTTGGCGTGGAAACGAATTCGGGCTTCCCTCCCCCCCCCAAGAAAAGCTTTTTTGTCAAAGCCCTGAAATTAGTCAGCGACGCCTTGTCGACGCCGCGTCCAACTGCGGCCTGCGGAAGCCCAGAATTGGATGCGGCATGCGGCTGGCATGGAACGCCGCCGGGGGACCCCAGGGTTCGATCGCCGGCTTCGCGAGCCGGGGGATTCGGCCTACTGCGTCGGTGGTCGTGCGACCGCGGTTCGGGACCCACCTCGCGGAAGGTGCCGGGGATGGAGATGACCTTGTAGATGGCGTAGACCGGCACGAGCATCATGGAGGAGATGGCGATGCCCCAGCCGACCGTGTTGGCCCAGTCGGGGAACTGGTACTCGTCGTAGGAGAGCGGCTTTGCATTCACGATGCTCGCCACCACCACGAACTACGTGCACGCACACAGAGACAACGATCCCCGCCACCCACCCCCCGTGTAGCCATTAACGGACTGGTGGTGTGAGCGCTGTTAGCGAGCGCTGTTAGCGAGCAACTATTGAGGCAGGCACAGCACGCGAGCGTACGCACGGACAAGAGGCTGGGGCTCAGAGATCTAGAGATGAGCAAGTCTCGGACCGCAACAGACAACGAGCGGTGCTCTTGACACGCAGCTGCGGTCATGTGCCCTATAGATCCACATTGCCTCGGCCTAAATCACACAGATATGCACCAGATCTCACCGGATTCTCATCAGGATCTCGCCAGGATCTAGCCAGATCTCATCCGATCTCGCCCAATCTCACCAAATTCTCGCTGGATCTCACCCAATTTCACCCGATCTCGTCCGATCTCGCCCAATCTCTCCGGATGTTGGCGGCGAGATCGGATGGGTGCTCTGGGAAGGTAGCGGTGGGTCATCAAGCACAGGCAACGACACTGTTGTACTCTTTTCCTATATTCCCACCTTCACCAACCCACACGACTGACAGGTGTGGTGAATTTCGATTTAAAGCTTTCGTGACTGCAGGGATTAATCTTTTTGGTTCTTTCGGTAAAGTCACATAGAATGGAAATAATAAAACAATAAAAATAAAACATAATAAAATAATTACATTTCGATTTAAAGCTTTCGTGACTGCAGGGATTCATCTTCTTGGTTCTTTCGGTAAAGTCACGTAGAATGGAAATAATAAAATAATACAAATAAAACATAATAAAATACAATTCTCACGACGTTTCGGCCACAACGCAAGCAGCCGTCCTCAGATGAAGAACAGGTCTGTCGAGAAGACAGAGTCTGAATGAGTCTATGAGTCTCTGTGTGTGTCTATGGGTCTCTGTGTGAGTCTATGGGTCTCTGTGTGAGTCTATAGTGCACCGGTGTCTGATTATATTTCATTTTTATATGAACATAATCAAATCAAACCCATGTTTACCGTAAGCCATGGGTCTGTTGAAATACTAATAATAATTTTGAGAATTATAGGGTGGCGGTTGTATTAAAGCACAATATTTATGGGTATGATTTTAGCCAGCAACATCCATTGCCTGCAAATGATGTAATTCGCATCTGTTTCATATTTATGTTTATATATATATTCCCGTTCACTTTTCATTGTGAGCAGAAATGAATTTCGCTTGGGAACGCTTCCAAGTCATCCTCTGGCGGATATCACCACCAACTGATCAAAGACAATGACGATGACAACGACGATGATGACGACGACGACGATGATGATGATGATGATTATTTTGATGATTGCCAGAACCCAGATTAATCACTGCCAGCTGTAGTTCGGAGTCAAACTGATGTCTCGGCAATACCGGCTCAGCATCTCTGACGAAGTATCAGCCCCATAATGTGACCACTTGTTCGACAGGGTAGTATTAACAATAGGCTACAGGGCGGTGCAATGGTAAATCAGCCTGGGTTCGATTCCCAACTCGGGCAGCTTTTTTGCGTGGAGTTTCTACGTTTGTATGTTGTCCCCCTGTTCTGTTCAACGTGTGGTGCGTGCGAGCGATTGAAGTTTTTTATTTCTCTCCCCCAGTTCTGCGTGGATTTCCTCCGAGTTTTCTGCCGTGGCTAAATCCACACGAAACGTCAACGTTGTCGGCCAAACATCACAACACGAAGTCAACGTCATAATATCCAATTCAACGTCTAATACGCAAGCATACGATACGCGCTCGGTAACTGGATTCCGCATTCTCAGGAAGTCCGAGTATAAAGGCCAAGCAGTGGCTCAGCAGCAGAGAAGCAAGTTGACGTCTGGGCCACCCCAGACGCGAGCGTTTACACAGTCCCCTTCGTGCCAACTTTTTTTTCCGGCTCCCCCTCTCCAAACCCTTTTATTAATTTGTCTTCCACCGACGCCCAAATTTAGCAGGCGTGCGGGCGCGCGCCAGACCGGCAGCAGCGGCGGCGGTAATAATATTATTGACAACGATGAGGATGAAGGACGATGTTGAAACCTAAAGAAGTGGGCCGGTGGTGGAGTGGTGGGGTGGGTGAGGGGTTGGTGGGTCGGGTAGGCTCCAGCGAAATATCAAAGGTCGCGTGGACGCTGTGCCGGGGAGAGGCGCTCGTGGTTTGGCAGCTGCCAAGTTGCTTTAGGACGGCCCGCAATCCGGCGCGGGATCCCGCGTCTCTCTCTGCGTGACCTTCTCCCGATGCGGCAGTCGCCCCGGCCATGGCTACGTCCGCACTGCTCGCGGGTTCCGCTCCGTGACCCCGGGTGCGGCGGTGGTTGTGGCGGTGGTTGTGGCGGTGGGGGCGGTGGGGGCGGTGGTGGCGGTGGTGGTGGTGGCGGTGATGGTGGCGGTGGCGGTGGTGGTGGCGGTGATGGTGGTGGTAGTGGTGATGGTGGTAGTGGTGGTGGTGGCGGTGGTGGTGGCGGTGATGGCGGTGGTAGTGGTGATGATGGTAGTGGTGGTGGTGGCGGTGGTGGTGGCAGTGATGGTGGTGGTAGTGGTGATGGTGGTAGTGGTGGTGGTGGCGGTGGTGGTGGTGGTGGCGGTGATGGTGGTGGTGGTGGTGGCAGTACCGGTGATGGCGGAACCTCGTGCAAAAAGGACTCGGGAGGAAATTTCTTTTTCACCACAATGTTGTTCATCTGGATCTGCACGGTTGGCTACGTACGGTGCCAAAGAAGTTCAACATGTGTACGTACGTACAATATTAACGTTGGGAGTCACAACCAAGTGGCGAGACAACGGGAGCGTTGTTGTTGTTCAGAGCGGGTACCAGCAGAAAGCAGGGGCTGACGAACTTCCAGCAAAGCCTCCAGTAGAGTCCGGGCTTGAATCCCATCATCTGCTCAATGTCCTCACTGAACCGGTCCACTCCTAGAACAAAGACAAAGGTCCCCCGTGTAAGCCTTGAACAGACTGCGGGGGGCAAGTGCTGTTCGCGAGTAGCACCGATGAAGAAAGGCGCTGCTCACGAGGGGGTGGGAGCCAGAACCACGGCCGGCCAGCCCATGTCTACCCAGTGTTGACGTTCCCACACCGCACCAGGTAATCGTTTGAGGCCGAGCCGACCTAGGGGAGGCCACAGGATCGGCGTTGGCCGCAAGCGGGAGTCGAACTCTGTTGGTCGCCGCTCCCCAACAACAACAACGAACGCGATTCGCCACTAAGTGGCGGCGACGTCACCACGGCGCTTGTGCCAGGCTCCCCACGCACACAACACAGCACGACTTGGAGGCTGTTGTCAATATCAATTCAATTCACGTGGACGTTTGGTTTAATCCGAAGTTCTCATAGCACGTGGCCGTCACGAATGCGCCCATTGCACACAGACGGTTGCAGTTTGGAGTTCCAAAAAACAAAATGAGTTGATTGTGAAAATATAATAACGCTGCATGTCCTGACTTTCTAGCCCACCCTGTACGTACAAATATATTTTTAATAAAAAATAATCTGCGATGCGTGTCTGATGGTTCCAAAGTGTTTCATGCAGCAGCTGCTGCTTCTGCTGCTCCAAAGTCTTGTAACCAACCCTGGGATCTCTTCTCTGGGAATGGCCACACTGCCAAGTCGCTGCACTCTTTGAAACAGACATTATTGAGGTCGAAGCAAGACGAATGCGAATGTACGGAATTGCTTTAAATTTTACTTAAAATATTTTTAATATTTCACATCTTGTTTTCACGAACTCTCGCTGTTGGCCGTGTCTGTCTGCTCTACGAGTCACCCTTGAATAATGGGTCTCATAGCTCGATGGGTAAGTTGCCCGGGTAACAATAAAGTTGTCATTCTGATTCTAACTCAAGGCATCTGGTTCCCGCACGCACACGCCTGCCCAGCAGGTGTGTGCGTGTGTGTGCGGGGGGTGTCCAGGTGAGGAGCCGGGACGCGTTCCACCGCTTGGCCCTCAAATCTGGCCCGCCCGTGTGTCCCCTCTGGCAAACCAGACTCAGGGCACCGGCATCGCGAGCTGTTCATGGTACGAACAACAACAAACAACGACTACTGGACAGAGGTCGCAATCGGGTACCCAATACCCGTACCCTACCCGATACCCGGCTAGCCGTACCCGGCCGGGTATGGGTACAGGTACCCGTTTGCGACCCTGGTGCGGCCGGGTACGGGTAGACCGTGAGTCACTGGTGAGTAACCGTTTGTCACTCATTTCCCAACGTCTTGTCTCTTCTCACAATTCAAGTTCCTAGAATCAACCCACCCGCGCCTGCAACATGGCTTCATCCCAGAGGTCGCAATCAGGTACCCGATACCCTACCCGATACCCGGCGGGGTACGGGTACCCGTTTGTGACCCTGGTGCGGCCGGGTACCGGTACGGGGAAGGAATCAAAACCCGTTTGCGACCTCTGCTACTGGACGTTGTTCAAACGTGCGGCCTTTCGCCGATGCATCTCGCCAAAAAACAAAAATCTCGATTCCCTTCACGTTGAAATATCACTCAGCGGCCCGTCGCACCGGCCGACCTTTAATTTAATAAATAAATAAATGTCCCGGCCTGACCCCGTGGCTCTCCTTGCCTGGGTTTAGTTTCTACCCCCCTTGCGCAACCCCCCACCCTACCCCCCTCAATCCCCCCCGACCACCCTCAGCTTCCAACTCTGATGCACGCAGACAGGGCGGCCGCTATGCGTGCGCATGGCCAACGCCGCCGGCGTCGCCCGATGAAGCGTCGCGTTGCGGCCTCCTCGTCAGCCAGGATTGAGGATTGTCATCGTCGGCAGCAGCAGCAGCAGCCGTGGTCGATCCACTGCTGGATGAAAACCTCTGCCCCCCACCACCCCCCCGGCAAGCCACCAGCCGTCCGTCACGATCCCACCCAGCACCGGAGCGTGAAATTATCTCACCGCTCCGTCTCCCCCGTCGGGTGCACTTCCCGGACGCGGTCCGCTTCCTTGGCTGCCGCTACCACCGGTACCCCTTGAGAGGCGGCCAGCAGCAACGCGACTGGCCGCGACTCCATGGTGCCGATCTGCGTCGCTCGCCACGGGATGCCGAATCCGCACGCGGATCTCGCCCCCAGCGTCGTCACCGCATTCCGCTCGCGCGTCTCTCTTCGTTCTCCCTCTACTCATTCCCCTTCACTATTTACACTCATTCCCCCTCTACTCATTCCCCTTCAACTCTCCCACTCATTCCCCTTCCTCTGCGCAACCTTCCCATGAGCACGGCTGGCTACGTACGGTCGCGGAAGGAGTTCAGCGTACGTGCGTGACGTATCACGGAGGAGGCCGTATGGACGTAACGTGCGGCCTCCTCCGTGATCATCACCCCAGCTGCTTGTCGAGTCTTCTGCCACTTAGTTTTGTAGTTTGAGCGACGGTCGGTCTACTTGGTAGTGACGCCCGAGCCGACTCGCGCTACGGGGAGTTTTTTTATTATTGTTGTTTATTATTGTTTACTATTATTGTTTATTATTGTTGCTGTTAATTATTGTTTATTATTATTGTTGTTTATTATTGTTTGTTATTGTTTACTATTATAGTTAATTTTTGTTTATTATTGTTTACTATTATTGTTTATTATTGTTTACTATTATTGTTTATTGGTATTGTTTATTATTTTTGTTTATTAGTATTGCTTATTATTGTTTATTATTGTTTGTTTTTGTTTACTATTATTGTTTATTATTATTATTATTTATTAGTATTGCTTATTTTTATTATTATTGTTTATTATTGTTTACTATTATTGTTTATTAGCATTGCTTATTATTATTGCTTACTATTATTGTTTATTATTGTTTATTATTGTTTATTATTGTGTACTATTATTGTTTATGATTATTGATTATTATTGTTTATTATTAGTGTTTACTATTATTGTTTATTATTATTGTTTATTATTGTTTACTATTATTGTTTATTAGCATTGCTTATTATTATTGTTTATTATTATTGTTTATTATTGTTTATTATTATTGTTTACTATTATTGTTTATGATTATTGATTATTATTGTTTATTATTGTTTACTATTATTGTTTATTATTGTTTATTATTGTTTACTATAATTGTTTCTTAGTATTGCTTCTTATTGTTTGTTATTATTGTTTATTATTATTGTTTATGAGAGGACAAGGTACGCTCGTGCGGTATTTTTGCTTTCCCACGCAGCGGCACGGCCATCCGAGCTGACGCTGCCTGCCCATGGGCGGGCGGGCGGGCAAACGGCCTGCACACCTGGGGGGGAGGCGACGTGACCGCGACGACCACCCGCACGGAACGTGGTCAGCCACGGACCATGGCATCAATGCGTGGCCACTCACTCAGGTAGTCTCAGGTCCATGCCTCCACGGCCGGTTCGGCAAAAAGAGCGTAAAAGTAAATAAATAAATATTCTCGGCAGTGTGCGGAGTGGAACGCGAAGCCGCTGTTGTCCATACTCTGCTCCGCTGCCATTGGGACATTCGCTGGCAGGGCGGAGAATCTTGGGACACGTGGCTGGAAATCGTGAGGGCAGCCAACTGCTTCCCCGCCAGAGGCCGCAAACGCAAAGTGCAGCCTTCTCGTCGAGCACAACGACCCACTGTCCAGGTGAACCCTGACCTCCGGGACCGTTCCGTGAGAAGATGGTTTTTGCAACAACAACAAAATAAGAAAAAGGGAAGGAAAAAAAAGTTAAAGTGACGATGCAATTATGCTTTTTGTTGCTGCTAAACCTTTGTGTGACGGACGCGCGCACACACACACACACACGTGCTTTGTTTACGGGCTGCAGTTACAAATTCAAGCATGAGCTTAATTTGCTTTCAACTTTGCCGAACCCGACGATTTTACGTTTGAGCGTGTGTAACTTGCGGGGAGATTTTTGGGTTGTCGCTAACGCGGGGAACGCCGTCGCTGAGCGGGGATCAAAAGCTCGCCGATCCACGGCGAGATGGGACGATGGCCGACGGTCAAGAGTAAGATCGGAGCGGCCACCAAGGAGTGCAACTCGTCCTTGAGGACGTCCCTTTGGGAGGAGATGGAGCGACGAAACGAGTTCAAGGTGCATCACAGGATTCTGAAGGGTGGTCGGGAGCGGCATCTATGGAGGGGACCCTTCATCCAGCAGTGGATTGACCATGGCTGAAGATGATGATGGTGGTGATGACGATGATGACCGCAGTAGCATCACAACAGTGGCTAGCAGGACTCCGAGCATTATGGGTGAAGCTATTAGTTATGGGCGGTGAAGCCGTGCCGTGGGGTCGCAGCCGTTGTGTGATCGGTGCAAGATGAAGATGATGATGCTGATGATGGTGATGATGATGCTGATGATGGTGATGATGATGCTGATGATGATGCCCGCAGATGTGTCACGACAGTGGCTGGCCATGCGCCGTGCATCATGGGCGGTGAAGCGAGCGCTCACCGTAGAACCAGGCGACGCCGATGGCTTCGATGAGGACGCCGAACAGGATCGACGTGCCGGCAGCAAAGTTGTCGAGGATGGTGAAGACGTAAATCCCTCCCTGGTGACACGGGGAGAGGGGGGGAGGGGTGGCACGGGGCACTGTCCTTCTCCTCGGCTCACAACAAGCACCTACACAGTTGCTGCCGTTGCTGTTGTTATGACGAGCGATGGGGAAAGCCGGCACGACGGATTCTGGGTTGGTGTCCGGGACCAAGACGTGAGATGGTTTCAGAGGCTGCGGCCACAGGCGTGCACGTGGTAGTTTGGTAGTGTGTCATGTAGCCCGCATGCCCAGCCACCGCATGCCAAAGCAGCTTCTGTTTGGCCGAATAGAAGGGGCTAAACGGGCACGGCACAGGCTGGTGAAGAGATGGAGCTGATGCGGTACGGGAGGATGTGGAGCTGAGTGGACTTGCCGACGACCGGTACCAGCGGTGTCAAGATCGGCCGTGGTGACGTCACCGTCACTTAGTGGCGAATGGGAATGGCATTGGTGCTGGTAGTGTGGTGGCTAGTGTGCTGTGCTTCGAACCCGGCCACCCGAGTTCAATTCTTGCTCATGGCCAACACCGGTGATCTAAACCGGTCTCGGGCCTCCCCTAGGTCTTTGGTAGGAGCAGTAGTGCCGGTAGTGGTGGTGATGATGGTGGTGGCAGTAGTGGTGGTTGGTGGTGGTGGTGGCAGAGACGGTAAATGATGGTAGTGGTGGTAGCAACAGTGGCAGTGGTGGTGTTGCTGGCGTGGTGCTGGCCACCCACCTCCTCGTGTGCCGTGCCGGCCTTCATAGGTGCTCGCTAACAGTACTTGCCCTAATAGTCTGTTAAGGCTATACGGGGGATCTTTGTCTTTTGTTGCCCCAACAGTCTGTTAAGGCGATACGGGGGATCTTTGTCTTTGGTGGTGGAAGTGGCGGTGGCGGTGCGAGCGCCACGACTCACATTGGTGACGCAGACGAGCGCCACCAGGAAGGTTCCTACAGCCACCAAGAGGGTGAACTTCTCACGGTGGCGCTTGAGAATCGGGAAGTCGTCGATGAGGCCGGTGATCACCGCCTCCATGCCACCCATCTGCACGCACACGGATGGGTTACTATGTACGCACGCAGTGGGTCGCTACGTACGCACGCGGTGGGTCACTATGTACGCACATGGATGGGTCACTACGTACGCACGCGGTGGGTGACTACGTACGCACGGTGTGGGTTACGTACACATGGACGGACCACGAGATGGACGAATGTAAGGATGGACGACCAGGCAGGGTGGAGACACGGGACAGATATGTGGATGGACCAACGATGATCATACAGGCGGACAGATGGATGGACATGTGGATGGAGAGAGGGGCGTGTGTCTTCGCTGGTTCATCACGCGCGATGCCAGCCAACGTGATCGCGACGTGACCGTGTATCTGGGCGCAGTTCAATGCAGCTTAGCTTCTTGCAGCGGACCGACGGACATCCCTGGCGCCTCCGGGGCCGTGCCAGGGTGGCCTGCTCGGCGCGGTGGCAGCGGAGGAGGTGGGGGTGGTGCGCAACGACGCGCGACGGCGACTACTCACGGCGCTGTCGATGCCCAGCGTGAGCAGCATGATGAAGAAGATGATGGCCCACATGGAGGCGCCCGGCAGGGTGGCGATGGCCTCGGGGTAGATGATGAACACGAGGCCAGCTCCTGCAGCACCAGCAGCAGGAGCACCAGCAGCAGCACAAACAGCAGCAACAGCAGCACGAGCAGCACCAGCAGCAGCAGCACCAGCAGCAGCAGCAGCAGCAGCAGGACCAGCAGCATCAGCAGCAGCATCGTTTTCCCGTGGTGTCATCACGTGGTGTCATCACGAACAGTGTCTGTTGGTCCGTCTATCCATCCATTCATCTGTCTATCTCTCCATTTGTCTATCTGTCGAACTATTGATCTGTCCAAACATCAACCTGTTCGTGTGTAGGTCTATCTCTCTCTATCCATCTGCATGTCCATCTGACATATACACCTCTCTCCAGCCATCCATGCATCTTTCCTTTCATCCATTTATCTTCCCATCTAACCATTAATCCTTCCATCCATTTACATATCCATCCATCCATCTATTTATCAATCCCACCATCCATCCCTACATCTGACCGAAGAGCGGCTCTACACCAATAGAGCGAGACCAGCTGCGCTTGGCCCGCGACTGAAAAATGCTAGCTGACATTGGTCGGCAACTTGTGTTTCCTCCGGAGATTGCAACCACCACCCTAAGACCTGACATGGTGCTCTGGTCCCGTTCGCTCAAGAAGGTCTTCATCATTGAGCTCACAGTACCCTGGGAGGACTCAGTAGATGAGGCTTATGAGCGAAAACATCTGCGCTATGCCGATCTAGCTGCCGAAGCACGGCATCATGGCTGGAACACAGAAGTCCGACCAGTGGAGGTGGGCTGCAGAGGTTTTGTGGCAACATCTACAACGAGACTGCTTAGAGACCTGGGAATTAAGGGCCAGAGCCAGCGTTCGGCAATCAAAGCTGTATCGGAGGCGGCAGAAGGCAGCAGTCAGTGGCTCTGGATGAAGAGGAAAGACCCCAGCTGGGCCCCAAAGTGAGAGGGCCAGGAGGTATGCAGTCAATAATGCTTGACTCAGGGAGGAGGACGCCCCTGCCATGCATAGTCCCATGGGATGCTGGCTACCAACAACAAGGCAACTCCTATGACTAATTGGGAATGGGACGCAAGCGTAGGATTGATCACCCTGTCGCTGGCCGCCTTTGGGGAGGGTGTATAGTATGAAAGGCCGAAACACCCTAGGAACCAAAGGGTCACTACTGACGATGCGCTCCCCAAATTTCACCAGGCTCACTGTTCATGAACTCTTGGAAGTGCTTGCACAAAGGATAGTAACATCTCATCCTGTGTTCTTTGGAACCATACATCCACGCTTAATCAACACATCTGTCCCTTCACCCATCTATTTATCAATCCCACCATCCATCCGACCATCCATATACATCCACGTTTAATGCACACAAGTGTCCACAGACAGGTGTTGTTGTTGTTGCTACTGCATCTGCAGTAGCAACAACAACAATAGTATACCGCAAGTTGAACAAGGTCCAAAATACTGAACCCCAGTCACATTGTCACAAGTCATTCAATGGCCTCTCAGTCATCAGAGTGCACATTGAGAAGACTTCCAGTGCCGAAAGAGCAGAATCAGCTGCAGCAATAACCCGCAGTTGGCGAACAGCCGTCGGTTTTCACCATTGTATCAAACAAACAAACAGAATTAGCTAAATAATGAAAATCCCCGGTCTCACGCCGTCAGCATCGCGTCGTCGGGAGACGACGGTGCGACGTCCTGTCGTGTTCGGGAACGACCCGCGGAGGCGGATGTCACGAAGCCACATCCGAGATGCGTTCGAGTGACCTCTGGTTCACAGGCACGCCAATGGGCAGCACCTGTGACAGGTTTTCGTTTGTGCCGTCATTGGTGATCGTGCTTAGACCGAGGGGATGCCCAGGACCGGTTCAGATAATCGCCACTGGTGGTGGCATGGGTGGGAATTGAACTCGGGTCGCTGGGTTCATAGCGCAGTGCACTGACCGCTACGTGACCGCTCAGACACGGACGCACGCACAAAGACACACATACTGTGACACACACATAGACAGACACGGACACACACAGAAAAGGACACACATAGGCATGTACACACACAGACATGTGCACAGACAGACACACAAGACAAAGATCCCCCGGATATCCTTATACTGTTGGGGCAAGTGCTGTTAGCGAGCACCTATGAAGGCCGGCACGGCACATGAAGGCATGGGTGGCGAGCACAACGCCCGGCCGCCTTCGTCTCCCTAGTGGCCATGTTTACACACCACACCAGGTACTCATTTGAGACTGAGTCGACCTAGGTGAGGCACAGGACCGGTTCAGATAATCATCACCGGCGTTGGCCGTGAGCGGGAATCGAACTCAGGTCGCCGGGTTCGTAGCGCAGCGTAGCGCAAACCGCTCCCCACACAGACATACACACACGGACACACACAGACAGACACACACGGACACACACACACAGATACACACGGACACACACACACAGACACACACGGACACACACAGACAGACACACACGGACACACACAGACAGACACACACGGACACACACAGACAGACACACACGGACACACACAGACAGACACACACGGACACACACAGACAGACACACACGGACACACACAGACAGACACACACGGACACACACAGACAGACACACACGGACACACACAGACAGACACACATGGACACACACACACAGAGAGACGAGGCACCGACCGTCTGTAGCCACGTCGTCTATTGGCACGTCGTGCTTCTTGGCCATGTAGCCGAGCAGCGAGAAGATGACGAAGCCGGAGAAGAAACTCGTGACGCAGTTGATGGAGCTCGTGATGAGGGCGTCCCTGCCAGGGCGGTGAAGCACACGCAGACATCGGTGCTCTCATCATCATCAACACCACCACTCCTACCATCATCATCAACACCACCACTCCTACCATCAACACCACCACTCCTACCATCAACACCACCACCACTCCTACCATCATCATTATCATCAACACCACCACTCCTACCATCAACACCATCAACACCACCACCACTCCTACCATCAACACCACCACCACTCCTACCATCATCATTATCATCAACACCACCACTCCTACCATCAACACCACCACCACTCCTACCATCATCATTACCATCAACACCACCACTCCTACCATCAACACCATCAACACCACCACCACTCCTACCATCAACACGACCACTCCTGGCATCATCATCAACACCACCACTCTTACCATGAACACCATCATCAACACCACCACTCCTACCCCCATCAACGCCATCATCAACACCACCATCCCTACCACCATCACCACCACCACTACAAATGGCGAATCAAAGATTTGGCGGCTTGCGAGTGATGCGCCCACGAATCCCAAACCCTCGACCAGCATTGTGAACACTCCACCACCACCACTCCACCACCACCACTCCACCACCACCACCACCACTCCACCACCACCACCGCCACTGCTGCTGCTGCCGCTGCCGTCTTAGCTCCTTTGAAGGAGCGAAGATGGAACGAGATCCACGCACTGCTTCTGAACCATTGAGTCGCTAACGGATCCAAAATTACATCTTTAATCTGCCGTTATTAATCTATACGGAAGAAGAAGAAGACGACCTCACTTGTAGCAGTTGTTGTTGAACTTGTTGTAGCTGGAGAAGGCGATGAGGACCCCGAAGCCGGCGCCCAGAGAGAAGAAGATCTGAGTGGCGGCGTCGATCCACACCTGGGAGGCGACCGGCACGGGGGAGAGGGTGAGGTGTGGGGTGGAGGAGGGTGAGGTGTGGTGAGAAGTGGGGTGAGGTGTGGTGAGGAGTGGGGTGAGCGGTGGTGAGAAGTGGGTGAGCGGTGGTGAGAAGTGGGGTGAGCTGTGGTGAGGAGTGTGGTGAGCAGTGGTGAGCAGTGTGGTGAGGAGTGGGGTGAGCTGTGGTGAGCAGTGTGGTGAGCTGTGGTGAGGAGTGTGGTGAGCAGTGGTGAGCAGTGTGGTGAGCTGTGGTGAGGAGTGTGGTGAGCAGTGGTGAGCAGTGTGGTGAGGTGTGGTGAGAAGTGGGGTGAGCGGTGGTGAGAAGTGGGGTGAGCGGTGGTGAGAAGTGGGGTGAGCGGTGGTGAGAAGTGGGGTGAGGTGTGGTGAGAAGTGGGGTGAGCGGTGGTGAGAAGTGGGGTGAGCTGTGGTGAGGAGTGTGGTGAGCAGTGGTGAGCAGTGTGGTGAGCTGTGGTGAGGAGTGGGGTGAGCTGTGGTGAGCAGTGTGGTGAGCAGTGGTGAGCAGTGTAGTGAGGTGTGGTGAGGAGTGGGGTGAGCTGTGGTGAGGAGTGGGCTGAGTAGTGGTGAGGAGCTGTGGTGAGCTGTGGTGAGCGGTGTGGTGTGTGTGTGTAGGAGAGCAATCCACAGGGTGTATCTATTGTGTGTGCGACGCTTCGCTGGAATCTGCCACCAGCGTCTTCATCAGGCGAGTGCCAGAACTGTGAAAGCCTCCCCAGGTGCTCGGCGCTACGTAGGCGGTGTGACGTCATCACCACGCCCCGCTCACCCCACACAGGTGAACAGGAAGTAGAAGAAAGTAATGGGTATGGTCTTCTTGGTTCTTTCGGTAAAGTCACGTAGAAGGGAATGAATAAAATAATAAAAATAAAACATTATAAAATATAATTCTCACGACGTTTCGGCCACAACGCAAGCAGCCGTCTTCAGGTGAAGAACAGGTCTGTCGGGAAGACAGCGCTGTTCTGCTGCTTACGTTGTGGCCGAAACGTCGTGAGAATTATTTTATTATGTTTTATTTTTATTCTTTTATTATTTCCCTTCTACGTGACTTTACCGAAAGAACCAAGAAGATGAATCCCTGCAGTCACGAAAGCTTTAAATCGAAATTTTATGGGTATAGGTCAATATGTATTAGATTTATTACAATCAATTATTAGATATGGGATGTGTGTTTAACTTCTTTCGCACAGTACGTAACCAACCACGCTTGCTAATCGGAGGTGCGGTGGGAACGACCACAAACTAAGCACAAAAAGGAGTTTTAAAGAAATTAGTTTGTCAATCTAGAAGATTCAAAAGTGCATAGCTCCAGTGGCTTCCTCATATAGGACGGAAGAGCATTCAAGAGTGCCGCAGAAGTGCATCGGAAAGTGCGCGTGATGCAGCGACCCTCTTTGTTAGGTGGTTAGCCAAAAAGCCGCTGCTGCTGTGGTGATGACCAGAGTTTGCTCAATGATGGTTTACGCTCTTTGACGAGATCAGCGAGGTGTTGCGGTCCGTGCAAGGCACTGTGGGTAACCTAGCAAACAAAGCGCAATAAACTTTATTTGGAGCTTTCGTGACTGCAGGAATTACTCTTTGGTTCTTTCGGTAAAGTCGCGTATAAAGAGAAAATAATAAATTAAATACTAGCATACGACGTTTCGATTGCAACACAAGCAATCATCATCAGGTATAAATGAAATAGAAACACAAATCTAGTATACTTAAAAATGTAATGTAATACAACAGAGAGTCGGATAACATAACAGTCAACACCCTACCTGGTTGATTACGTTCTTCCTGAGAATGCTAAATTTGAGAGAGAGATAAAACACAGAACCAGAGACATATAGACAGACTTATAAGTAGACAGATATCACACCGATACATAGAGAGATATCTGTCTGCTTATATGTCTGTCTATATGTCTCTGGTTCTGTGTTTTATCTCTCTCTCAAATTTAGCATTCTCAGGAAGAACGTAATCAACCAGGTAGGGTGTTGACTGTAATGTTATCCGACTCTCAGTTGTATTACATTACATTTCTAAACATACTAGATTTGTGTTTCTATTTCATTTATACGTGATGATGATTGCTTGTGTTGCAATCGAAACGTCGTATGCTAGTATTTAATTTGTTACTTTCTCTTTATACGTCACTTTACCGAAAGAACCACAGAGTAAAGCGCAAGAAGCCGCAAGCCTCCGCATGGACGACTGCGACGCGGAGCGGTGTTCGGGGTGCGTTCGGGGGTTAAAAACTAAAACTACAGAGAGAGAGAGTGCAGAGAGAGAGAGGAAGCGAGTAAGCGAGCGCGGGGAAGGATAAAAAAACGAGATGAAAGGTTAGCTGAGGATTTACAAGAAGGGACGGAACGATCGCGACCTAAGATAGCACTCAGCCTGTGCCGTGCAAACAGAGGGCGCACTGCCAACGGAGCGCGGCGGGGTGTTTTTAGCGCCCACGCCGTTACCGTTTGCAGATGCCGCCACATGGCTACCGCGGAGGGGTGGGGGCAGAGGTCGCAAACGGGTTTTGATTCCTTACCCGTACCCGTACCCGGCCACACCAGGGTCGCAAATGGGTACCCGTACCCGGCCGGGTACGGGTACCCATTTGCGACCCGTTCCCTACCCGTACCCTACCCGAAATGAGTGACAAACGGTTACTCACCAGTGACTCACGGCCTACCCGTACCCGGCCGCTACCCGTACCCGTACCCAGCTGGGTACGGGTATCGGGTACCCGGTTGCGACCTCTGGGTGGGGGTGACGATGCTGAATCCGGCAAGGTGCGAGCTCGGAGCGAGAAATACCGTCGGGGAATACCGCGATCAACTTATCAAGTCGGCGGATTAAAGGGGGAGTTCGCGTGCGTTGTTCGAACGTCCGCACGCTTGATGTGGATTCAGGGTAATAATAGTAATAATGCCATTCACAAGTTCTGGATGAATTACAACAAACATTTGTAGCTCACGTCTCGCTGCAATAACCCCCCCCCCCCCTACAGTTTAAATAAGTTTTTACACTTTTATCATAACAATAATAATACTGATTCGTATCCTGGTAAAGTGTCACCTGAGTCTCAAGACTCTCTCGCATGAGGGTCCTGCTACATTGGGATGTTTGTCCAATTGAATTCGCCACTGGGTGAGGCTTCACAAATCATGTTTGGAAGGTTAGAGACAGAGTGGGGTAGAGGAAGGTCTGGAGCCTGGACATGAACAGGGGGCAGGGAGTCAAAAGCACGGACGGCTGGGGGAAGGGAGCTCTAGACCATGGGGGCAGCAGAGGAGAATGAGCGACCTCCCATTGAGCGAAGGTTGACTGGAGGATTCGACTAAAGGCGTTGGTTGACAATGTGTGTATATGTGTATGTTGAACTTCTTTCGCGCCGTACGTGCAAACCATGCTAAACGGAGGTGCGGGAGAATAAAAATGAACCAACCGTGCCAATCTAACAAGATGAAGGCTTCACCATGCTGTGTCAATATGGGAGGTTGTTTTGACTATATTTCACCACGATGGTCAGTGCAGGTTTGAGCGTGGAGGGGAGTAGAGTGAGATGACAGGGGAGATGAGAGGTAGGAGAGTGTGTGGAGGGGAGTAGACTGAGATGAGAGGGGAGATGCAGAAGAGTGCGTGGAGGGGTGTAGAGTGAGATGAGAGGGGAGAGGCAGGAGAGAGCGTGGAGGGTAGTAGAGTGAGATGAGAGGGGAGAGGTAGGAGAGTGCGTGGAGGGGAGTAGAGTGAGATGAGAGGGGAGAGGCAGGAGAGTGCGTGGAGGAGAGTAGAGTGAGATGAGAGGGGAGAGGCAGGAGAGTGCGTGGAGGGGGGTAGAGTGAGATGAGAGGGGAGAGGTAGGAGAGTGTGTGGAGGGGAGTAGAGTGAGATGAGAGGGGAGAGGCAGAAGAGTGCGTGGAGGAGAGTAGAGTGAGATGAGAGGGGAGAGGCAGGAGAGTGCGTGGAGGGGGGTAGAGTGAGATGAGAGGGGAGAGGTAGGAGAGTGTGTGGAGGAGAGTAGAGTGAGATGAGAGGGGAGAGGCAGGAGAGTGCGTGGAGGGGAGTAGAGTGAGATGAGAGGGGAGAGGCAGGAGAGTGCGTGGAGGGGAGTAGAGTGAGATGAGAGGGAGAGGTAGGAGAGTGCGTGGAGGGGAGTAGAGTGAGATGAGAGGGGAGAGGTAGGAGAGTGTGTGGAGGGGAGTAGAGTGAGATGAGAGGGGAGAGGCAGGAGAGTGCGTGGAGGGGAGTAGAGTGAGATAAGAGGGAGAGGTAGGAGAGTGTGTGGAGGGGAGTAGAGTGAGATGAGAGGGGGGAGGTAGGAGAGTGGGTGGAGGGGAGTAGAGTGAGATGAGAGGGGAGAGGTAGGAGAGTGCGTGGATGGGAGTAGAGTGAGATGAGAGGGGAGAGGTAGGAGAGTGTGTGGAGGGGAGTAGACTGAGATGAGAGGGGAGAGGCAGGAGAGTGCGTGGAGGGGAGTAGAGTGAGATGAGAGGGGAGAGGTAGGAGAGTGCGTGGAGGGGAGTAGAGTGAGATGAAAGGGGAGAGGCAGGAGAGAGCGTGGAGGGGAGCAGAGTGAGATGAGAGGGGAGAGGTAGGAGAGTGCGTGGAGGGGAGTAGAGTGAGATGAAAGGGGAGAGGCAGGAGAGAGCGTGGAGGGGAGTAGAGTGAGATGAGAGGGGAGAGGCAGGAGAGAGCGTAGAGGGGAGTAGAGTGAGATGAGTGGGGAGAGGTAGGAGAGTGCGTGGAGGGGAGTAGAGTGAGATGAAAGGGGAGAGGCAGGAGAGTGCGTGGAGGGGGGTAGAGTGAGATGAGAGGGGAGAGGTAGGAGAGTGCGTGGATGGGAGTAGAGTGAGATGAGAGGGGAGAGGTAGGAGAGTGTGTGGAGGGGAGTAGACTGAGATGAAAGGGGAGAGGCAGGAGAGTGCGTGGAGGGGAGTAGAGTGAGATGAGAGGGGAGAGGTAGGAGAGTGCGTGGAGGGGAGTAGAGTGAGATGAAAGGGGAGAGGCAGGAGAGAGCGTAGAGGGGAGTAGAGTGAGATGAGAGGGGAGAGGTAGGAGAGTGCGTGGAGGGGAGTAGAGTGAGATGAGAGGTAGGAAAGTGCATGGAGGGGAGTGGAGTGAAATGAGAGGGGAGAGGCAGGAGAGTGCGTGGAGGGGAGTAGAGTGAGATGAAAGGGGAGAGGCAGGAGAGTGCGTGGAGGGGAGTAGAGTGAGATGAGAGGGGAGAGGTAGGAGAGTGCGTGGAGGGGAGTAGAGTGAGATGAGAGGGGAGAGGTAGGAGAGTGCGTGGATGGGAGTGGAGTGAGATGAGAGGGGAGAGGCAGGAGACTGCGTGGATGGGAGTAGTGGCAGCAGGTGAATAAGTAGCCAGGGGCATAGTGAGGTGTATACTGGACGTGGTGTGCCGGGAAGCCGCCCACCGAGAGTTGACGCAGGCGACGCAAGTCCACGTTGAGGTACTCGTAGATCCCGTCCATGGCTCCGGGCAGCGTGACGCCGCGTACCAGCAGGACGGTGAGCACCACGTACGGCATCGTGGCCGTGATCCACACCACCTACAGGCCACAACCACACAACCACCACCACCACAACCACACAACCACCACTAAGACAACATCAAGACCACCACCACAACTACCACCACCACAAACATACCACCACCACAACCACCACTAAAACACCATCAAGATCACCACCTACCACACCACAGCTACCACCACAAACACACCACTACCACCACAACCACCACTAAAACACCATCAAGACCACCACCAAAACCACCACAACAAACACACCACCTTGGGGCCACCACCACACAACCACCACTAAAACAACATCAAGACCACCACAACTACCACCACCACAAACATACCACCACAAACACACCACCACCACAACCACCACTAAAACACCATCAAGATCACCACCTACCACACCACAACTACCACCACAAACACACCACCACCACAACCACCACTAAAACACCATCAATAACACCACCACCACCACAACTACCACCACAAACACACCACCACCACAACCACCACTAAAACACCATCAAGACCACCACCACAACTACCACCACAAACACACCACCACCACAACCACCACTAAAACACCATCAAGATCACCACCACCACCACAACTACCACCACAAACACACCACCACCATAACCACACGACCTTACATAGAGACCCATAGACTTACAGAGAGACCCATATGTTTACAAAGGGACCCATATACTTACATAGAGACCCATATATTTACATAGAGACCCATAGACTTACATCAAGACCCATGGACTTCACAGACAAAGAAACTTAAAGAGAAACCCATAGACTTACAGAGAGACCCATATGTTTACAAAGGGACCCATATACTTACATAGAGACCCATATATTTACATAGAGACCCATAGACTTACATCAAGACCCATGGATTTCACAGACAAAGAGACTTACAGAGAAACCCATAGACTTACAGAGAGACCCATATGTTTACAAAGGGACCCATATACTTACACAGAGACCTATATTTTTACATAGAGACCCATAGACTTACATTCACAGACTAAGAGACTTACATAGAGACCCATGGACTTGAGATACTCACAAACCTACGAAGAGACCCATAGACTTTCTCATACACCTACGGAGTTATTTAACCCGCACCTCCGATTATCACGGCTGGCTACGTACAATGCGAGAAACGTTCGACAGACATCATCATCACCATCCACGTGCAGATAGGCCGTAGGTGTCCACTGCACATTTCGTCATTGTTGTTTCCACTTTCCTCTCTGTCTTGTGCAAACATGCTCAAGTAGCGGCCACATCTTCCTGGTGCCAGTCTCTCATCGTCGTCATTGTCAAGCCATTCTCTGTTAGGTCTTCCTCTCTTTCCGGTTCAACAACACCAACGCATCTTCTTGGTTCTTTCGGTAAAGTCACATAGAAGGGAAGTAATAAAATAATAAAAATAAAACATAATAAAATAATTCTCACGACGTTTCGGCCGCTGTCTCCCCGACAGACCTGGTCTTCACCTGAGGACGGCTGCTTGCGTTGTGGCCGAAACGTCGTGAGAATTATTTTATTATGTTTTATTTTTATTATTTTATTACTTCCCTTCTATGTGACTTTACCGAAAAAACCAAGAAGATGAATCCCTGCAGTCACGAAAGCTTTAAATCGAAATTTAACACCAACGTACTTTCACATTTTCCTGTTGCTTGTCCACCCTCCAATATGCGTGCAGCCATACGTACATACGGACACCCATGGCTCAATTACACTGGTCAACAACAACACCAAAAAACATTTTTTTCTGGCCTGGACTTTTGCAGCTGTTTTAGACTAATTTCAGGGTGCTGATTCCAAATCAGATCTCAGATTTGCTCTATCACATTTTTATGCTATCGGCATACCCCATTTTCATTGATTTTACCCGAAATTAACTCTGTCACTTATAATTGCAAGTTGTTGCGAGTCAGTGACTGCTTTAGTGTTAAAATATGGTGCTGTATTTTTAGGATAGTGTGTTTATAATATCATTTTATGTAGATATCCACATTTATTTAATGTTTTTATTCTGCAGTTTTTATTGAAAATGCAATATTTGATATCTCAGAAACCTGATGTGATAGATTTGGAATCAGCACCCCAAAATTACCTTAAACCCGTTGGAATACCTTATGCCAGAACAAGTGTGTTGACCAGTGTAATTGATCGCGCCAGCATCGACACTCTCCGAGCTCTCGCCTTGCCCGATGTCCGGATGCCCTTCCAGAGGCTGAAGTAGAGGATGAGCAGCACCACGAAGAGGCAGATGGTGAGCTGCCAGCGAGGAAGTCCCAGATTGTTGAGGCCGCTGCTGTCGTGCAGGTGTAGCACTCCTCTCCTGCAACGCGGACAAAGACGACGAGGATGATGGCAGCTCCCCCCCCCACCCACCTTCCTCGCGTGTGCCACGCATAACCTTCAATATCAGAATTTGTATTTAGACCGAAGGCCGTGGGTTCAATCGTGACCCCTGTGATGCCTGCTGTATATTTGGAGTTGGAGTGTCTCTCTCTCTCTCTCTCACTCTCCCCGTGGTGGTGTCGATTTTTCTCCGTGCCCTCCGGTTTTTCCGTCCACATTGAGAATCAACGGCGTCACACGCTCAGAGTATTCGGCTGCTGTAAACGTCCACGTGTCGGTAATAATCCCACTTCGTTGAGCTATCATTTGTGAAAGCCAGATCGCTTCTGAAAAAGAGCTATATTGCAGCTCAGTGGACCTTACCTGGTAAGATAAACATAGATTATATATTGAACAGAATCCAATGAACCGATGAAGCTTTTGTTTGCAGATGTCCAACAGAGTAAAAGGTAAAAAAGTGGAGATAAATAAATAAATTATAATAAATGGAATATCTCGGTACAAAGTACATACATTGCTGCAACAAAACATCAACCACAACACCACACCAAGACAACACAGCTGCTCAATAACATTTCACATACAAATTGAACTATCGGCATGTAGGTATCGATAGTCAGGTGCAGGAGCTCATGGATCAGCCCCAGGTGCCAAGAGGTTGACTGATGGTGCCAGGCTAGGTGCAGGAGCTCATGGATCAGCCCCAGGTGCCAAGAGGTTGACTGATGGTGCCAGGCTAGGTGCAGGAGATCATGGGACAGACCCAGGTGCCAAGAGGTTGACTGATGGTGCCAGGCTAGGTGCAGGAGATCATGGGACAGACCCAGGTGCCAAGAGGTTGACTGATGGTGCCAGGCTAGGTGCAGGAGCTCATGGGACAGACCCAGGTGCCAAGAGGTTGATTGATGGTGCCAGGCTAGGTGCAGAAGCTCATGGGACAGACCCAGGTGCCAAGAGGTTGACTGATCGTGCCAGGCTAGGTGCAGGAGATCATGGGACAGACCCAGGTGCCAAGAGGTTGACTGATGGTGCCAGGCTATGTGCAGGAGCTCATGGGTCAGAGCCAGGTGCCAAGAGGTTGACTGATGGTGCCAGGCTATGTGCAGGAGCTCATGGGTCAAACCCAGGTGCCAAGAGGTTGACTGATGGTACCAGGCTAGGTGCAGGAGATCATGGGACAGACCCAGGTGCCAAGAGGTTGACTGATGGTGCCAGGCTAGGTGCAGGAGATCAAGGGACAGACTCAGGTGCCAAGAGGTTGACTGATGGTGCCAGGCTATGTGCAGGAGCTCATGGGTCAAATCCAGGTGCCAAGAGGTTGACTGATGGTGCCAGGCTATGTGCAGGAGCTCATGGGTCAGACCCAGGTGCCAAGAGGTTGACTGATGGTACCAGGCTAGGTGCAGGAGATCATGGGACAGACCCAGGTGCCAAGAGTTGACTGATGGTGCCAGGCTAGGTGCAGATCATGGGATAGACTAAGGTGCCAAGAGGTTGACTGATCAGAATCAAAATGTTTATTAAGTCTGCAGGAATCCGATGACTTATAATAAGACTATAACTGAGACTATAATAAGACTGTTGGGCCAAGTGCTGTTTGTGAGCATAGCGAGCACCCTGATTAATGCAAGGCCTTACCGTTAGCCACATTGGCGAGATGTTAACTACCTCGCCTGGTATACAAGAGATCGTGAGATTTCATCCCAACCCTGACGCCTGAAAATGTGGAGTTTGCGTGTCTCTCTCCCCGTGGTCGCGTGGATAATTTCTCAGAGATCCTCCAGTTTTTCCCTCCACAATTAGAATCAATATCACACGTTTAGAGCATTCGGCTGCTATACATTTCCACGAGATAAGCCACTGCGTTGAGTTATCATTTGTGGCCAGGTCGCTTCTGAACAAGAGCTATACATCTTCTTGGTTCTTTCGGTAAAGTCACGTAGAAGGAAAATAATTTTATGTTTTATTTTTATTATTTTATTATTTCCCTTCTACGTGACTTTACCGAAAGAACCAAGAAGATTAATCCCTGCAGTCACAAAAGCCTTAAATCGAAGAGCTATACAGCTCAGGGGGCCTTACCTGGTTAAATGCATACGTAGTTTTATAGTTTAGAATGCGATAACAGCGGTCGCCATTCGCCAACAAGTGGCGGTGATGGCACCAGGGAGCATGTGCCAGGCTAGGTACGCTTCGTGGCCCACGGCAGGAGGTTTGGGGGCAGAGCGATCTTGAAAACCGGGACAATCGTTGCCACTCAAGCACTTGACTGGATTCCCGCTTGAGACCAACACCAGCGACGAATATCTGACAACACTTTTTCTTGTCCATCAGCGTACATTCACACATCACGCTTGGTTCAAGGCCGAGTCGACCTAGGTAGGAGGCGCAGGTCCGGGTTCAGGTAATCGTCAATTTGGCCCGTTGGTGGAGCCACGAGCGGGAATCAAACTCGGTTCTCTCTTTGCCGGAGAGTTCGTAGCATGTGCCTGGGCAACCCCCACACCTCCCCCACCCCAAACAACAATCTGCTCGCTAAATGAGCAATTGTTCCAAAGGTCTGACGAAGGCGACATAGGGGATATTTGTTTGTTTTATATTCTAGAAAATTATTTTGTCAAGCCACTTTTCCCCCTCCAACCCAGCTTAAATATATGCTCCAAGCCTGGTGGTGTTTCATTCAGACGCTGTCTTCCCGACAGACCTGTTCTTCACCTGAGGACGGCTGCTTGCGTTGTGGCCGAAACGTCGTGAGAATTATTTTATTATGTTTAATTTTTATTATCTTATTATTTCCCTTCTACGTGACTTTACCGAAAGAACCAAGAAGATTCTAGGGGGTGTCGGGGGAAGAGGGGGGGGAGGCAGGGGGGGGGGGGCGGCGGGGGCTCTTACTCACTCGTAGTACTCGGCTGACGGCGTGCTCTTGTACTTGGCGTACTTTGTGTGGAGGCTGCGCGGGGGCCGGGGAGAGCTGGGCGAGTGGTACTCGGTGCAGTTGGGCGTGTTCCACGAGTTATTGCAGTGGGTCCACGGCAGGTCGCCAGTGAACGACGAGAAGAGGTAGTGCAGCGACCACGCGATGATCACGTTGTAGTAGAAGCCGACGTAGAGCGCGATGAGGATCACCGTGTAGCCCACGCCTACACGGAGACATGGAGACATCCAGATCCCCGCATGCCTACACGGAGACACAGAGACACCCAGACCCCCAATATGCCTACACCGAGATGTGGAGGCACCCAGAATCGCCAACGCCTACACCGAGAGACGGAGACACCCAGACACCCTAAGCCTACACCGAGACACGGAGACACCCTAAACCCTCATGCCAACACCGATTCACGGAGACACCTAGACACCCGCACACCAACACCGAGACACGGAGACACCCAAAACCCTCATGCCAACACCGAGACACGGAGACACCTAGACACCCGCACACCTACACGGAAGCACGGAGACACCTAGACACCAGCATGCCAACATCGAGACACGGAGACACCCAGACCCCGTACGCCAAAACAGAGAGATAGAAACCCCAGACTCCCACTGGCCTACATCGAGGCATGGAGACCCCCACACGCCTACACTGAGACATTGAGACACCCAGACCCCCAACATGCCTACACCGAGACATGGAGGCACCCAGAATCGCCAACGCCTACACCGAGAGACGGAGACACCTAGATACCCGCACACCTACACCTAGACACGGAGACCCCCGCATGCCTACACGGAGATCCCCACAGGCCAACACTAAGACATGGAGACACCCAACCCCCTCACGCCTACACTGAGACACGGAGACACCTAGACACCAGCACTCCCACACCAAGACACGGAGACACCCAAAACCCTCACGCCTACACCGAGACACGGAGACAACCAGACCACCGCATGTCTACACCAAGACATGGAGACCCACAGACCCCCAAAGCTGACATCGAGACACGGAGACACCCAGACCCCGTACCCCAAAACAGAGAGATAGAAACACCCAGACCCCCGCTGGCCTACATCGAGGCATGGAGACCCCCACACGCCTATACTGAGACATGGAGACACCCAGAACCCTGAAACCTACACTGAGACATGGAGACACCAATACCCCGCACGACAACAAAGTGAGATGGAGAAACCCAGATCGCCACAGGCATACAATGAGATACCGAGACACCTATACCCCTCACGCCTACACCGATACACGGAGACACACAGACCCCATAGGACTACACCAGCACAAGGAGACTCTAAGACCCCCCATGCCTGCAACGAGACACGGAGACACCCAGACCCCGAATGACTACACAGGGACAAGGAGACACCCAGACCCCTCACGTCCACACCAAGACACGGAAACACCCAGAACCCGCACACCTACACCGAAACTTGAACACCCCCACACGCCTACACTGAGACATTGAGACACCCAGGCCCTCGTATTACTACATCAAGACACGGAGACCCCCAGAGCCCCAAGGCCTACACCGAGACACGGAGACACCCAGAAGCCGCACGCCTACACCGAGACACGGAGACACCTAGGGCCTCTAGGTCTACACAAAGACATGGAGACACCCAGACCCCCGCATGCCTACACAGAAGCACATCAACTCCCGCATGCCTACACGTAGACATGGAGACACCCAGAGCACCTAGGACTACACCAAGACACGGACACACCCAGACCCACCGACACGGAGACACGGAGACATTCAGACCCCCTAAGCCTACACGATGACACAGAGACACCCAGACTCCTCATGCCTACACCGAAACAAGGGAACACGCAGAACCCGCACACCAAAACACGGAAACCCCCGCACGCCTACACCTATACATGGAGAAACCCAGAGCCCCTAGGTCTACACCAAGACACAGAGACACCCTGATCCCCGCAAGCCAAGACATGTAGACACCCAGACCCCTCCAAACCTACACCGAGACACGGAGATACCCAGACCTGCGCGCGCCTACACTGAGACATGGAGACACCCAGACCCCGCACGTCTACTCCGAGACACAGAGACACCCAGTCCCCCTAGGCCTACACCAAGTCAAGGAAACCCCCAGACCCTCCATGCCAACACCGAGACAGAGACACACCCAGACCCCCATACGCCTACACTGAGACACTAAGACACCCAGACCAAGCATGCCTACACGGGACACAGAGACCCCCACATGCCTACACTGAGACAGGGAGATACCCATACCCTTCACGCCTACTTCGAGACATGCAGATCCCCACACAACAACACTGAGACATGGAGACACCTGATCCCCTCATGACTACACCGAGATACATAGACACCCAGATCCTCCACCAAGACACAGAGACGTGCAGACCCACTCACGACTACACTGAGACAAGGAGACACCCAAGACCCCCAATTCCTACACTGAGACATGAAGACCACCTAGGCCTACACCAAGACAAGGAAACCCCCAGACCCTCCATGCCTACACCGAGATACTAAGACACCCAGACCCCGCATGCTTACACAGAGACACGGAGACACCTAAACCCCTTTAGCCTACACTGAGCCAAGGAGACACCCAGAACTGGCACACCAACACCGAAACACGGAAAACCCCGCATGCCTACACCTAGACATGGAGACACCCAGAGGCCCACATGCCTACACAGAGACACGGAGACACCCAGACCCCCATACCTACACCGAGACACGGAGACACCCAGACCCCTCATGCCTACATTGAGACACAGAGACCCCTAGACACCCTAGGCCTACACCGAGACAGAGAAACACCCAAACCCTACATGGCTACACCGATACATGGAGACCCCTACACGCCTATACTGAGACACAGATACACGTATACCCTTCATGCCAACACCGAGACATTTAGACACCCAGACCCCCCCAAGGTTACATGGAGACACGGAGATACCCAGACCCCTGCATGCCATCACTGAGACACGGAGACACCTCGACCCCTAACGCTTACACCAAGACACAGAGACACCCAGAACCCCGGATACCGAGACATCGAGACACCTAGACCCCCAAGGCCTAAACTGAGACACGGAGACATCCAGACCCCCGCACACCTACACTAAGAGAGAGAGACACCCAGACCCCTAACAGGAACACCCAGAACCCGCACACCAACACCAAAACACGGAAAAACCCGCACGCCTACACCTAGTTTTGGCGACACCCAGAGCAGCTACGCCTACACCAAGACGTGGAGACACCCAGACCCCCACACAACTACACAGAGATACGGAGACACCCAGAGCTGGCACACCTACACAGAGACACGGAGACACCCAAAGCCCCTAGGCATTCACCAAAACATGGAGACACCCAGACCGCTCATTCCTACACCGAGACATGGGAACAACCAGAACCCACACAGCTACACCGAAACATGGAGACACCCAAACCCTCACGCCTACACCAAGACTCAGAGACACCAAGACCCCACCGACACGGAGACATGAGACACTCAGACCCCCGCACGACTACACCGAGACACTGAGACACCCAGACCCTGCATTCCTAAACAGAGCCACGGAGACACCCAGACCCCGAACGCCTACATCAAGACACAGAGACCCCCAAAAACCTAGGCCTACACCGAGACAAGGAGACCCCCAGACCACCCATGCCTACACCGAAACACAGAGACCACCACATGCTTACACTGAGACACAGAGACACTCAGACCGCCTAGGCATTCACAAAGACACGGAGACACCCAAACCCCGCACGCCTACATCGAGACATGGAGATACCCAGAACGCCTAGGCCTACACCGAGAAACGGAGACACGGAGACTCCCATGCCTACACCGAGACAAGGATATACCCAGACCCTGCATACCTACACCTAGACAAGTAGACACCCAGACTCCCTAGGCCTACACCAAGAGAATGGGACCCCCAGACCCACGTTGCCTACAACGAGACTCGGAGACACCCAGACCCTGCACGCCTACACAGAAACACGGAGACACCCAGACCCCATAAGCCTAAACCGAGACACGGGAAGACCCAGAACTCGCCTGCCTACACCGAGACCCAGAGACCCTCACATGCCTAAACCAAGATGTGGAGACACCCAGACCCTGGACGCCCAGACAAAGACACTTGGATGTGTAGACCCCAACGCCTACACCGAGACACGGAGACACTCAGAGCACCCAATGCATACACCAAGCCATGGAGGCCCCTGCACACCTACACTGACACACGGAGACACCCAGACCCCCAAGGCCTATACCGAGAAACGGAGACACGGAGACCCCCAATGACTACACCTAGACATGGAGACACCCAGACCCCTCACGCCTGCACTGAAAAATGGAGACACCCAAACGCCCTAGGCCTACAACAAGACACGTAAACATCCAGAGCTGTCACGCCTACACCAAGACAGAGACACCCAGACCCTGCACGCCTATACTGAGACACGGAGACACCCAGACCTCCACACGCCTACACCGAGACACGGAGACACCCAGACCCCCACTCCACGACTGCAAGTTAAGCTAAAATTAAACTATTATTTAATTTGACCAGGTAAGGCCCACTGAGCTATATAGCTATTTTTAAGTTGAATCCTGGCCACAAATGATAGCTCAATAAATTGTCTTACCGTGAGGAAATGTATAGCAGCAAAAAACTCTAAACGCATAATGTTGATTCTAAATGTGGAGGTTAAAAAACTGGAAGACACTCAGAAAAATCTTACCCATCCCAAATAGACATCTGTGAAAAAGAGATGTATTGCTCATCGGATTCCTCTGGTGTAAATAAATATTCTGATTCTGTAATCCACGCGACCACTGGGAGAGAGATATGCAAACTCCAAATATACAGCAGGCGTCAGCGTCGGGTCGAACCCACGACCTCCTGCATACCAGGTTACGGAGTTAACATCTCTCCACCGTGGGGTGGGTCCCGTTCACCGCCGAATCACGGAACGCGAAAGCGGTTCATCGTTAAGTGTACTTAGAGAGGCATAGCGCCATTGTTTTTAAATACATTCTACTCACCGCAGAGAACTGTAGCGACACGACCCCACTCTATGATAGCTGGCTCCAAACTGTGCCACGTGCCCTCTCACATGGCAGTGTGCCTCAGTACCGATAAAGTTATTTTATTTTAGTTTTTCGTCGGGTTCTGCTCCGATGTACACGTACGATGACGTACGTGTACATCATCAGTTAAATCACTGCTGCTGCTGTAGCTGCTGCTGCTGTCGCTGCTGCAGCTGCCGATGCTGCTGCAGCCGCTGCTGCAGCCGCCGCTGCTGTAGCTGCTTCTGCTGCTGCAGCTGCTGCTGCTGCTTCTGCTGCTGCTGCTGCAGCTGCTGCTGCTGTCGCTGCTGCTGCTGCTGCAGCTGCTGCTGCTGTAGCTGCTGCTGCTGCTGCAGCTGCTGCTGCTGTAGCTGCTGCTGCTGCTGCAGCTGCTGCTGTAGCTGCTGCTGCTGCAGCTGCTGCTGCTGCTGTAGCTGCTGCTGCAGCTGCTGCTGCTGTCGCTGCTGCTGCTGCTGCAGCTGCTGCTGCTGCTGCTTCTGCTGCTGCTGCTGCAGCTGCTGCTGCTGTCGCTGCTGCTGCTGCTGCAGCTGCTGCTGCTGTAGCTGCTGCTGCTGCTGCAGCTGCTGCTGTAGCTGCTGCTGCTGCAGCTGCTGCTGCTGCTGTAGCTGCTGCTGCTGCAGCCGCTGCTGCTGCTGTAGCTGCTGCTGCAGCTGCTGCTGCTGTAGTTGCTATAGCTGCTGCTGCTGCTGCAGCTGTTGCTGCAGCTGCTGCAGCTGCTGCTGCTGTAGCTGCTATAGCTGCTTCTGCTGCAGCTGTAGCTGTTGCTGCAGCTGCTGCAGCTGCTGCTGTAGCTGCTGCAGCTGCTGTAGCTGCTGCTGCTGTAGCTGCTGCTGCTGCTGCAGCTGCTGCTGCTGCAGCTGCTGCTCTGGCTGCTGTTGTAGCAGAAGCTGATGCTGCTGCGGTACATAGCACCAATCACAGAATACATTTACAAACGTGCGTTCAGAGTATTTTGGCTGATATCAATGTTCACGTGATGAGCTGGTTAAGCTCAGTAGGGCCATACCCGTCAAACATGAAAGATAGTTTTAGTTTAGCAACCTTCAACGCGAAGCGAACGCACGGTGCATATCGCGGCTGAGCCGAGGCGCGCGGCGTTAACCGGAGCGGCCTGCCAGACCCGAACCGGTGAACCTCAGCACCAACGCGCCACGAGCCGGGCCACACTGCACGGCCCCAGGTGCGGCCGTGGCCTCGGCTTTACCTTTGAAGAGGGGGCAAATCTTCCAGACGCTGGCCGCTCCCTGCCGGTTGAACTGGCCCAGCGCCAGCTCCATGTAGAAGAGCGGCATGCCAGCAATGACGAGGAAGAGGACGTAGGGGATGAGGAACGCTCCTGCGAGAGAGAGAGGGAGAGAGATGGAGTGAGAGAGATGGAGAGAGAGATGGAGTGAGAGATGGAGTGAGAGAGATGGAGTGTGAGAGATGGAGTGTGAGAGATGGAGAGAGAGAGATGAAGTGAGAGAGATGGAGTGAGAGAGATGGAGTGAGAGATGGAGTGAGAGAGATGGAGAGAGAGATGGAGTGAGAGATGGAGTGAGAGAGATGGAGTGTGAGAGATGGAGTGAGAGAGATGGAGAGAGAGATGGAGTGAGAGATGGAGTGTGAGAGATGGAGTGTGAGAGATGGAGAGAGAGAGATGGAGTCAGAGAGATGGAGTCAGAGAGATGGAGTGAGAGAGATGGAGTGAGAGAGATGGAGTCAGAGAGATGGAGTGAGAGAGATGGAGTGAGAGAGATGGAGTGAGAGAGATGGAGTGAGAGAGATGGAGTCAGAGAGATGGAGTGAGAGAGATGGAGTGTGAGAGATGGAGTGAGAGAGATGGAGTGAGAGAGATGGAGTCAGAGAGATGGAGTGAGAGAGATGGAGTGAGAGAGATGGAGTGAGAGAGATGGAGTCAGAGAGATGAGTGAGAGAGATGGAGTGAGAGAGATGGAGTCAGAGAGATGGAGTGAGAGAGATGGAGTGAGAGAGATGGAGTCAGAGAGATGGAGTGAGAGAGATGGAGTCAGAGAGATGGAGTGAGAGAGATGGAGTGAGAGAGATGGAGTGAGAGAGATGGAGTGAGAGAGATGGAGTGAGAGAGATGGAGTGAGAAAGATGGAGTGAGAGAGATGGAGTGAGAAAGATGGAGTCAGAGAGATGGAGTGAGAGAGATGGAGTGAGAGAGATGGAGTGAGAGAGATGGAGTGAGAGAGATGGAGTGAGAGAGATGGAGTCAGAGAGATGGAGTGAGAGAGATGGAGTGAGAGAGATGGAGTGAGAGAGATGGAGTCAGAGAGATGGAGTGAGAGAGATGGAGTGAGAGAGATGGAGTGAGAGAGATGGAGTGAGAAAGATGGAGTGAGAGAGAAGTGAGAGAGATGGAGTGAGAAAGATGGAGTGAGAGAGATGGAGTGAGAGAGATGGAGTGAGAGAGATGGAGTGAGAAGATGGAGTGAGAGAGATGGAGTGAGAGAGATGAGTGAGAGAGATGGAGTGAGAGAGATGGAGTGAGAGGGATGGAGTGAGAGAGATGGAGTGAGAGAGATGGAGTGAGAGAGATGGAGTGAGAGAGATGGAGTGAGAGAGATGAAGAGAGAGAGATGAAGAGAGAGAGATGGAGTGAGAGAGATGGAGTGAGAGAGATGGAGTGAGAGAGATGGAGTGAGAGAGATGGAGTGAGAGAGATGGAGTGTGAGAGATGGAGTGAGAGAGATGGAGTGAGAGAGATGGAGTGTGAGAGATGAAGAGAGAGAGATGGAGTGAGAGAGATGGAGTGAGAGAGATGGAGTGAGAGAGATGGAGTGAGAGAGATGGAGTGAGAGAGATGAAGAGAGAGAGATGGAGTGAGAGAGATGGAGTGAGAGAGATGGAGTGAGAGAGATAGAGTGAGAGAGCGAGAGAGTGAGCGAGAAAGTGAACGAGAGAGTGAGCGAGAGAGTGAGCGAGAGGTGGGGGTTTTACATAAAGCAAAGTAAAAAAAAAATTACGAAATGATGAACGACGCAAAGTGCCGAATACACCGAGCATCTTCTTGTTTCCACTGATCGTAAAAAAATAAAATAAAAAGAGAGAGATGGAGCCGCAACGCGGCGGCGGTTGCTGCACCTCCAATTGGCACGGTTTGGCTATGCATGGTTGGAAATGAGTTCAGCATCATACACACGTATGTGGGCCATCGGACATGTCCGTGGAGAAACTCACTCGTCTACTAGATCACTCACCTGCCTAACCTATCACTCACCCGCCTACCCAATCACCCACGCGCCTACCAGATAACCCAGCCACACTACCCGATCAACCACCCACCTTACCGATCACTCACCCGCCTATCCGATCGCTCACCACTTATCCGATCATTCACGTACCTAAACGATCACTCACCTGCCTATCTGAACACTCACCCGCCTACCCTATCACTCACTCACCTACCCGATCACCCATCCGCCTAACCGATTACTCACTCGCCAACCCAATCACTCACCCACCTACCCAATCACCCACGCGCGTGCCCGGTCACCCACCCGCCTACCCGATCAGTCACCTGCCTATCTAATCACTCACTCACCTACCGAATCACTCACCCACCTACCCGATCACTCACCCGCCTACCCTAGAATTCACTCACCTACACAATCATTCACCCGCCTACTTGATCACTCACCCTTCTAACCGATCACTCACCTGCCAGCAAGGCGATGAGCCTATCGGAGGGAGTTTGAATCGGCATGTGTGTTACCTGCCAGACTAGGACACATGCTCAGGATACATGGCCAACGAGAGCTTTATGGCTCGTTTTGTTCAGATGCGACCTGGCTATCATAAATGAAAGTTCAAAGAGGTGGCTTATTATCAAGTGGAAATTCATTGCAGCCAAATGCTTAAACGGGTGATGTTTCCAAATGTGGAGGGAAAATCCGGAGGACCAAGAAAAAAAATCCACACGACCACGTGGAGAGAGACATGCAAACTCTAAATATACAGCAGGTGTCAGGGTCGGGATCAGACCCACGATATTCTGTATACCAGCCGAGGAAAAGAACATATCTCGATCGCGTACACAGAGAAGCACGCAGAGACAGACGCTGAGAGGCAGAGAGAGAGAGGAGTACACAGGGTATGTGAGCGTACGGTGAGTGAGACTACTGACGGTGAGACTTACAGAGTGACAGCCAGAGGCGGGAACGTCACCTACCCAATCACCTACCTACCCAATCACCTACCTACCCAATAACCTACCTACCAAATCACCTCCCTACCCAGTCACCTACCTACCCAGTCACCTACCTACCCAATCACCTACCTACCCAATAACCTACCTACCAAATGACCTCCCTACCCAGTCACCTACCTACCCAATCACCTACCTACCCAATAACCTACCTACCAAATGACCTCCCTACCCAGTCACCTACCTACCCAATCAACTGCCTACCCAATCACCTACCCAATAACATATCTACCCAATCAACGGCATACCCAATCACCTGCCTAACCCATCCACTGCCTACCCATCTACCTAACTACCCAATCACCTACCTATCCAGTCACCTACCTACCCAATTAACTAATTACCCAATCAACTGCCTACCCAATCGCCTACCAACGCAATCACAGACCTAACCAATCACCCGCCTACCCAATTACCTGCCTACCCAATCACCTACCTACCCAATGACCTACCAACTCAATCACCAACCTACCCAATCACCTGCCTACCCATTTACCTGCCTACCCAATCACCTACCTACCCAATCGCCTACCAACGCAATCACAGACCTACCCAATCACCTGCCTACCCATTTACCTGCCTACCCAATCCCATGCCTGACCAATCACCTACCTATCCAATCACCTACCTTACTACCTACCTACGCAATCACCTGCCTACCCAATCACCTACATAACTTCCATCCATCCAGCAGTGTATTGACAATGGGCTGTAAGTGAGATTCATTCTTTTAGTCAAGAGCACAGAGTTGCCAAGCTTGTAGTCCATAGCTTTGGAGTTGAAGTTTGTGGATCAGATGGCGTTGTCAACTTCTCACATTGGCTGGGTTGAGAGGGGAATTTATTATTCCGTTTGTTTGCCTAGGAGAGCCACGATGAGTCTCAGGACTCATTTTCAGGAGGGTCCTACCAGGTTTTTTAGTGTACAGGGCGATGCTGCTGCTGCTGCTGTGTATACTCCCAACTGGAGTAATTTGCAGGTAATTTGTCAACATTTGGGATGTAAATTTTGATTTAAAGCTTTCGTGACTGCAGGGATTCATATTCTCGGTTCTTTCGGTAAAGTCACGTAGAAGGGAAATAATAAACTAATATTAATATAAAACAATAAAAATTATCAATTTTTCATATTAATATTATTTTATTATTTCCCTTCTACGTGACTTTACCGAAAGAACCAATAATATTTGGGATTGCGATTTAAAGATTTCGTGACTGCAGGGATTCATCTTCTTGGTTATTTCGGTAAAGTCACGTAGAATGGAAATAATAAAATAAAAATAATAATAAAATAATTATTTTATTACGTTTCATTTTTATTATTTTATTTTTTTGAAATTTTTTTTATGTTTTATTTCTATTATTTTATTATTTCCATTCTACGTGACTTTACCGAAAGAACCAAGAAGATGAATATTTGGGATGTACTTGGCCGGTAGCAGTTACACCATAGATGGGTTTTGTTATTTAGCAATGGGGTCAAGAAACGGGAGAAGCCGGAGGTAACCCCACAGCAGAACCGGGGGAGAGAGAACATTATAACTTCCCCACAAGAGAGAGGGCATCCCAGTTGAGAATCGGAACCCAGGCCCCACTTGGCATTCAGAGCGAGCGTTCAGCACTGCGCCACCGCTCTGTCCCGCCCGGAGCACAGCGAGCGAGACAAAGACGGAGAGAGAGACGGAGAGAGAAGTGGGCATTCTTGAGCCTGGAGTTGGATCAAGGAGGAGGGTTCTAGGAACCTCCAAAGGTTCTCAGTCTAGATGTAAAGATGCATAGCTCCAGTGGCTTCCTATTACACTGGTCAACACACTTTTTCTGGCAATAGGTATTCCAACGGTGTTAAGGTAATTTTGGGGTGCTGATTCCAAATCTGGCATCAGTTTTTGTCTATCACATCAGGTTTTTGAGATATCAAATATTGCATTTTGCAGAAGAAAAATATTAAATAAATGTGGATATCTACATAAAATGATATTATAAACACACTATCATACAAATACAGCACCATATTTTAACACTAAAGCAGTCACTGACTCGCAACAACTTGCAATCATAAGTGACAGAGTTAATTTCGGATAAAATCAATGAAAATGGGGTATGCCGATAGCATAAAAATGAGATGTGATAGAGCAAATCTGAGATCAGATTTGGAATCAGCACCCTGAAATTAGTCTAGAACAGCTGCAAAAGTCCGGGCCAGAATTTTTTTTTGTTGACCAGTGATATATCGGAGGGGGGTGGGTGTCTAAACTGTGAATCTTTTTAAATCGGGCCCTACATTCAATGATAATTACTCATTACAACATTACATTTCTACGCACCAACGCCCCCTAGTTCCACCACTGTCTCCTCGGTACAAAGGGATTTCGTGGACAAAAGAAATTCCAGGCAGTTGGGGCAGCAGCAGAGAGGGAGCGATCTCCCACTGAGTAAAGCTTGACTGAAGGGGTTTTGACGTCCAGGACCTTTATTGCTACAGGTTCATTAAAGGGGAATTTGCCGACACAATGAAAGGGCATGTGTCTCCGTGTCTCCATCACAGCGTGTGTGTCTGTGTCTGTCTCCATCCCTCCGCGCGTCCGTGTCTGCTTCCATGTGTCGGTGTGTGTGTCTCTCTCTCTCTCAGAATGGGGAGCGGTGGTGCAGTAGTTGGCACACTGCACGAGTTCACGTTCCCTCCTTTGGCTTCCACTCCGTAAGTCTCAACCGTAAGCATCTCGCTCACCGTACGCTCACGCACCCCGTGTGCTCCTCGCTCTGCCTCTCAGTGCCAATCTCTGCGTGGTTGTCAGTGTACGCGGTGGCGAGATGTTAACTACCTTGCCTGGTATGCAGGAGGTCGTGGGTTTAATCCTGACCCTGACGCCTGCTGCATATTTGGAGTTTGCGTGTCTCTCTCGCTGTGGTTGCGTGGATGTTTCACCCATCTTCCCGATCATCACGCCTTTAGAGTATTTGGCTGCTAATTCTAGATTTGAAGCTTTCGTGACTGCAACGATTCATATCCCTCCCGATTCATATCCCTCCCGATACGTTCCATTCATTGGCTACCACATTCTGATGATCTCCCCCCCCTCTCCTCCCCCCTCAACTCGCTTTTAAGGGATTACATCTTGAATCATTGCCTCACTTGATGCAGCTAATCTGGCTGTGACGGTCCCACCTGATGACGGAGACTTGTGTTGCCTCCGAAACGTCGTGATCTTTGTTTTATTTTATTTTTTATTAATTTTGATGTTTTACCTACGTGACTTTACCGAAAAAACCTAAGAATATTTGGCTGCTGTACATTTCCACGTGATGATAAGACACTTTGTTGACCTACCATTTGTGATCGCCAAGTCGCTTCTGGAATAAAGCTGTACAGCTCAGTGGGAATTCTTAGCTGGTGAAATAAAAAGTTTCGCTTTTGTTTTGTTCGAGTCCCACTCATGGCCAACAACACCAGTGACAATGATCTGAACCGGTCATGGGCCTCCCCTTGGTCGACTCAGCCTCAAATTGGTGCCTGGTACGGTGTGTAAACATCACCACTGGGGAAACAAAGGCGGTCGGGCGTGGTGCTGGCCACCCACCCTCTCGTGTGCAGTGACGGCCTTCATAGGCGCTCGCTAACAGAACTTGTCCCAAAAGTCTATTCAGGCTATACGGGGGATCTTTGTCTTTGTGTGTCTCTTTGTGTCTGTGTGCATGTAACAAACACTTGGACAGCTGAGGCCTGTATCTGTGTCAATGATATCCCAATTTGTTTGAGATCCCACACGTTTTTCGTTTGTTCTATTTACGTTTAATTCTGATTGTTCTGCAATCTCCTTTTCTCCGTGGCGGCGTTTCCGCGTTGCACAACGCGTCTGTATGGGTGGTGATGATGATGATGATGATAGTAGTTCATAATTAGTTCATAATTTGGAACACGCAACATTTCCGCTCATTCGGGGCAACAAAAGAGCGAGACTGACAATGATTCAGAGGTGCGGGAGAACGGAGCAAGGCAGACAGAGTCTGAGCTACCTACAATCGCCCAAGTTCTGGCCTCCAAAGCTGGGTGGGATGCGTGACCAACTCCACGCTTTCTAAAATGACGTCAAACATCACAACCGTGCAGAGACAAAGGAAGCGAGGGACGCAGTGATGGACGCACACCGACACGACACTCACCTCCGCCGTTCTTGTAGCACAGGTAAGGGAATCGCCAGACATTGGCCAGGTCTACCGCAAATCCAATCACGGACAGCAGAAAGTCGATCTTCTTGCCCCACGTCTCTCGCTCCACCGAGCATCCGTCCGCTCGCAGCGCCGCCTCGTCCAGCACCACCACCTCCCTCACATCCTTCTTCGCATCCTCCGCTCCCTCGACCCTCCTCGCGTCGTCCTCGTCTCCGCCGCCGGCTTCCTTAGAGCCGTCGACGGCAGCGTCGCCGCCGAAGTCGTCTTCTTCGTCGTCGGGCATCGCGCAGCGAACGCCGTTCTGCCCCTTGCCCACCGCCTCGTGCATCTCGAGGTGTTGGGCGCCGCGCGCAGACGACGCAGACGACGCCGCGTCCCCGGCACCTCGGGGGGCACCCTCCGTGGCCTGGCCCAGCGGTCTGGCGTGAGCGGGGTCTTCTGCGGCCGGTGTCGGAGTGTCGGTGCCCTCTCCTTTGCGGATCTGCCGTGGGTCGGGAGGTTGAGGGCGCAAACATCAACGGGCGCGCCACGTCCGATTGGCGCGGATGGCGACGCGCGGTGCGAAAAAAGTTCAGCGCGCGCACACACAAAGACAAAGCTGCCCACGTGTAGCCTTAACAGACTGTTGGGGCAAGTGCTGTTAGCGAGCTCCTGTGAAGGCCGGCACGGCACACGAGAGGGTAGGTGGCCAACACCACGCCCGGCCGCGCCTTTGTCTCCTTAGTGGCGATGATTACACACCGCACCAGGTATTCATTTGTGGTTGAGTCGACCTAGGGAAGGCTCAGGACCGGTTCGGATAATCATCATTGGTGTTGGCGGCCGTGAGCGGGAATCGAACTTGGATCGCTGGGCTCATAGCGCAGCACGGTAACCGCCGCACTACCGCTCCCCGCAACATACAGGGACAGATGATTTATGTTTTCCCATCGCGACGGCTGACGTGTGAAGAGCACTCTGCCTTTGAGCATCATGAAATAACCCCATCAAGCAGTTCGTGGAGTACGGCACGTGTTGAGTTCTGTGTTCGCTGTTGTCGCTACCTATGCCACCGCTGCCTCGAGCTGCAGCATCGCCCAACACGATCGGTGTCATCTTCTTGGTCACGTAGAAGGGAAACAATAAAATAATACAAATAAAACATAATAAAATAATTCTCACGACGTTTCGGCCACAACGCAAGCAGCCGTCCTCAGGTGGAGAACAGGTCTGTCGAGAAGACAGAGTCTGTCCTCTCGACAGACCTGTTCTCCACCTGAGGACGGCTGCTTGCGTTGTAGCCGAAACGTCGTGAAAATTATTTTATTGTTTTATTTTACTATTTTACTGTTTCCCTTCTACGTGACTTTACCGAAAGAACCAAGAATATGAATCCCTGCAGTCACGAAAGCTTTAAATCGAAATATAATCGGTGTCGTTTTTTTTTCATTTCAAGGCTCTCCGCAGGGTGTTGGGGTCAAGGCGCCTCTGTTAAGTAACTCGCCTTCTCGGGTTAATCGTCGAGTTACGACTGCGTGTTTTTAATCCACATCGTGGCCACCACGTCCTGGGTCGCCATCAAAATAGATTCCACCCAGCGGTGACCGAGGGAGAGTATCCACAGCGATGCAGAGAATTGACGACCGTGGACTTGTATTGTCGTCGAAATCGGAATTCTTTCGGGACGGCACAGGACACCAATGTTTCGATTTAAAGCTTTCGTGACTGCAGAGATTCATCTTCTTGGTTCTTTCGGTAAAGTCACGTGGAAGATAAATAATAAAATAACAAAAATAAAACATAATAAAATACAATTCTCACGACGTTTCGGCCACAACGCAAGCAGCCGTCCTCAGAGTCATTCAGACTGTCTTCTCGACAGACCTGCTCTCCACCTGAGGACGGCTGCTTGCGTTGTGGCCGAAACGTCGTGAGAATTATTTTATTATGTTTTATTTTATTATTTTATTATTTCCATTCTACGTGACTTTACCGAAAGAACCAAGAAGAAGGACTCCAATGCTCGCCGCTGGGCGACCGCACACGCGGAGTCTCCGCTTCCACATTCTACAGGGCCCACGATGCAGCGCAGTTCTCCAGGAGCAGCCGATGGTTTAACGGCCAAATGCACAAAAGGCTGAGCGCATTTCGTGCGCGTTTTTGGTGTGTGTGTTGTTTGTGGGGAGCGGCAGTGTAGCGGTGAGCACGCTGCGCTATGAACTCGGCATCCCGAGTTCGATTCCCGCTCACGGCCAACACCAGTGACGATGATCTAAATCGGTCCTGGGCCTCCCCCTAGGTCGACTCAGCCTCAAATGAGTACAGTGTGTAAACATCGCCACGAGGGAGACAAAGGCGGGCCGGGCGTGGTGCTGGCCTCCAAACCATTAATGTGCCGTGACGGCCTTCAATAGGTGCTACTCGCTAACAGCACTTGGCCCCAACAGTCTGCTGAGGCTATACGGGGGACCTTGGTCTTTCTTTTTTGTTTGGGATGCGCGATTTTCCCGGCCGGCGCGCTTTTTTATTTTCAATTGCGTTGAGATTTTCTGGCAAATTTACAGATTTTGCAAATTCGATTCGGGGCGGATTTAACGGATGCTCCGTTGCGCGAACAAAAAACTTTCGGCCTTATCCAGACCACCAGCTCAGCGGAACTGAGTGCTTGGCCGTGTTTATGTTGAAGATGTCACTCGGCCACCGCCGTTCGACGCGTAGTGAACGTGGAACTGAACGCAGGCGGTCGCGCTCGCCGCTGTGCCACAGCCGTAGCAGTCAACCCACACGGTCGACGCCGGATTCTTGCGCAGGGAAATTGAGTTTTCACGGTCCATGCGGCATGCAGACGTTTCAATACGGGCAAAATATGTATACATATATGAATATAAAGATACGTATATTTATTTGTCTATTTGTTTGTGTTTCTCCCTTGTGATGGGACGTTGTAGGATGAACGTTGAGATTTATAATGGCACGGGGTGATTAATAAGATCTGAATTGGTCTGTAATGCGGTAGGCACTGACAGGGTATACACCAGGTCCCCGCAAATTGTGTTAATTGTAAAGCTATTATATTTGATATTGTTTCGTTAATTAAAAAATAATAATGAGTACAAGGTAAGTACTCTTATGTTTTTTCGGTAAAGTCACGTAGGTAAAAAAATGTAAAGAAATAATGAAAATAATAAAAATAATAAAATAATAAATCACGACGTTTAGGAGGCAACACAAGTCTTCGTCATCAGGTGGGACCGTCACAGCTAGATTTGCTGTATCAAGTGAGGCAGGGATGCCAAGATGCAAGTTCTTAAACACAAGAGTTTGTGAAGGCCACCGCAGATGACTTTCGTCTCATCTCGTGCCACACTTTCCGATTCCCACGTGACATCGGTCGATGATTCTTTAACAAACAAACAAACAAAAACACAACGCTTGAGTACAAATACGCGTACACGCGGATCCAATTATAGACACCCCAGCTGAGTTGAATATCGTGTGAGCGATATTACTGAGTGGAGAGTGTTCACTAATTTACTGAGAACATTTAGATGTGTAGATTGGAGCGAAAATGTACGTATATGTTGGAAGTCTCACTATGATTTGAGCGGGGTGTCTATGAATGGATCATCCGCGTGCGTTTTGCTCCCTAAAACAATCGATCAGCTGGGGGGATCAGTTGAAATAATCGGCCTTTTGTAGTTGATCACGTTTCACTTTCGTGATCCATCACCGTTAATCGGCACACTCGGGATTTAGTTTCGGCTAACGACGATTACAATATTATTTTATTTCTATTATTACTTTTATTAATTTTAATTTCATTTTTTACCTACATGGTGACTTTACCGAAAAAACCAAGAGTAGTGAATCTTGGGGCAAGCGCCGCGAGAGAGCGTCCCTATGAAGGGTCGAGGCACGTGCGATGGGCGAGGTAGTGGGCCGATGCCATTCCCCGGCCGCCTTTGTCTCTCCTACGTTGCTGGCGTGGTACACAAGCGGCAGCGGGTACTCGTTTTGAGGCTGAGTCGACTTAGGGGACGCCCCGAGTTATCGCCACCCGATGTTAGCCATGAGCGGGAATCGAACTCGGTTCGCCAGATTCGTCGCGCAGTGCGCTAACCACTGCATTACCCCCCACCCTCCCAACCTCCCACCCTCCCAACCTCCCACCCTCGATTATAAAACAAAGACAAAGATCCCCCGTGTAGCCTTCAACAGACTGTTGGGGCAAGTGCTGTAAACGAGCCATCTATGAAGGCCGGCACGGCACACGAGGGGGTGGGTGGCCAACACCACGCCCGGCCGCCTTCGTCTCCCCAGTGGCGATGCTTTACACACCGCACCAGGTACTCGTTAGAGGCTGAGTCGACCTAGGGGAGGCCCAGGACCGGTTTAGATAATCGTCACTGGTGTTGGCCGTGAGCGGGAATCGAACTCGGGTCGCTGAGCTTGCAGCGCAGTGCGCTAACCGCTACACCACCGCTCCCCCGCCAGTTATATCCACGCGCTTGAACAGAGACAAACTGCACTCTCTTGACAAAACAGAGGCTCCATCGCCGTGCGTGCTGTCGCCTCCTTGCGCCTATTCAGCCGCCCGAGGCACTCTACGTAGAACCCCATTGTAGCTGTTGTGTTGCAAAGACTCACACAGAGACCCGTAGACTCACACGGAGACCCATAGACTCACACAGAGACCCATAGACTCGTGCAGTCTCATAGACTCACACGGAGGGTCCATACACCCGCACAGAGACCGATTGACTAACACAGAGACCCGTAGACTCACACAGAGACCCGTAGACTCACACAGAGACCCGTAGACTCACATAGAGACCCGTAGACTCACATAGAGACCCGTAGACTCACATAGATACATGTACACTCATATAGAGACCCGTAGACTCACATAGAGACCCATAGACTCACATAGAGACCCATAGACTCACATAGAGACCCATAGACTCACATAGATACATGTAGACTCACATAGAGACCCATAGACCCACATAGAGATCCATAGACTCACATTGAGACCCGTAGACTCACATAGAGACCCGTAGACTCACATAGAGACCCATAGACTCACATAGAGACCCGTAGACTCACATAGAGACCCGTAGACTCACACAGAGACCCGTAGACTCTCATAGAGACCCGTAGACTCACATAGAGACCCATAGCCTCACATAGAGATCCGTAGACTCACATAGAGACCCATAGACTCACATAGAGACCCATAGACTCACATAAATACATGTAGACTCACAGAGAGACCCATAGACTCACATAGAGACTCATAGACTCACACAGAGACCCGTAGACTCACATAGAGACCCGTAAACTCACATAGAGACCCATAGACTCACACAGAGACCGATAGCCTCACATAAAGACCCGTAGCCTCACATAGAGACCCGTAGACTCACATAGAGACCGATAGCCTCACATAGAGACCCATAGCCTCACATAGAGACCCGTAGACTCACATAGAGACCGATAGCCTCACATAGAGACCCGTAGACTCACATAGAGACCCGTAGACTCACAAAGAGACCAATAGACTCACATAAAAGTCAGGTTTAGCGTCAACAGCTGCGGCTGCATCTGTATGAATGTTGAACATCTTTCGCACCGCGCGTAGTGAAGCCGTGCTGATCTTTTACTGCATTTGTTCAAACTGCACAGGGTAGGTCAACAGCTCTGCATAAACAACAGATACGTTTAAAAATGTACCGACGGTTCGGGCGACGGGCGTTCTGGATCAAGGGCAGTAAAGGAGGCAAGCCTGGCAATATAGTTTTTTTTCGGTTAAATCGCGTAAAAAAAATTGGCTGTGTCGGGTGGTGCCGGGTTTAACGACACGTTTATTATATTTACACGGTCTAACCTGCCATAAAACCCATGTATTATAGATGATATCAGGTCGCGAAAGCCTCTTCCTACTGCTCGCTGTTGAACTGAGGCTGCCTGCCGTTGCTGCGTGTGGATTTCTATCGGGTGGCAAACGCAACGGTCAGCGAGGTGGACCACGGCGATTTCACGCTCACACCACGGCACACAGTCGGTCTATTTGTGTGCCGGTGTTGTAACACGGCGGCGCTGTTGATTCGCGTGACACGCGATTGGCCAACACGGTTTTATAACTTGCAAAAAAATACACATTCGCGCAGCATTTTGATAATAACGCGTGCGAACGGAGCCAACGTTTTCGAATGCAGTTTAGGAAACGTTTCGCGCGGTCTCGGGCAGGATAACGGGATGATCGCGATGACGATGAACGGCACGGTTGAGTGGCGGAAGAGCAGCCAAAGGAGGGAAGAAGCCGGAGCAGATGGAAGCGGCGTGCGGGGGGCAGCTGTTGTGTGGCAGCGAGAGAGAGAGATTTCCATCCAGCAGTGGAGAGATCGTGACCGAACGACGACGACGACGACGGAAAGCGAGACGCGTCACGAAAGTACTCACGTGCAACACTTTAAGGAAGCCTGCAAAAGTGTAGCGGTCGGATCTTAACATGACTGTTGATCTTGCAGCGGCAGTCTCAGATTAAAAGATGTCTTTGTGTGTGTGTGTAGGCTACACGGGGGAGGAGATCTTTGCCTTTATATAAGCAGTAGACACTGTGTGTGTCTGTGTGTGCGCGCGCGTGTGAAGAGCACACAGAGATTCCACCACCACCACGACCACCACCACGACCACCACCACCAACCACTACGTTAGCTCTCCATCAACTTCTATCCCTCGAGCGGCAAAAGGCAGATGGCTTTAAATGTGAGTGGAGGGTGTGTCCACGAAGGAGGGAGTGCTGGCGGTGGTGGTTGCGCTGCTGGTGATGATGGAGGGGATGATGGTTGGGGTGGTGATGGTGGGGGGGGGGATGGAGTCTGTCCACGCACGCCACGTAACTAACCAAAACAAAATTGACAAAGATTCCCCGTGTAGCCTTGGCAGACGGTCGGGGCAAGTGCTGTTGGCGAGTAGCACCTATGAAGGCCGGCACGGCGCAGGAGTGGGTGGGTGGCCAGCACCACGCCCGACCGCCTTTGTCTCCCCAGTGGCGATGTTTACTTTACACATGTGTAAACGTTTGGGGCTGAGTCGACCTAGGGGAGGCCCAGGAGCGATTCAGAAAATCGTTACCGGTGTTGGCCGTGAGCGAGAATCGAACTCGCGTCGCCGGGTTCGTAGCGCAGCGTTGCGAAAACAGTTGCTCCACCCTTCCCCTCCGCCAGGGCCTCGGACCAAGTGCACCTAGCCTGGTACAAGCGCCGTGGTGGCTGCTGTTGTTTTTGTTGTGTGTGTGCGTGTGGGGTAAGTGCTGTTAGCGAGCACCTATCAAGGCACGGGACGGGGTCACGAGGGAGCTCTGTATCCAGGACCACGCCCGTTCGCTTGCGCTCCCCACCCACCCCTTCGCCGCAGCAAGTACCCAGTTTAGGCCGAGCCGACCTAGGGGAGGTACAGGACCGATTGCCAAAGAACACTCGCCGCTAACGCGTGAGCCGTGGCCAGGAATCTAACGCAACTTGGCCGGGTTTTGAGTTGCAGTTGGTCAAACAACAAACACAAAAATGTTCAGCTCCAGTGGTGGACAGCAGCAATGGTGTGTGAGGGCAATTGCGGGGGCTTTACCTTTGCTTTGTTGTTGCCTTTATAGGGGCAGACCTCGCTTAACGCGATCCCGGAGAACGCCGATTCGTTATAGCGCTCGTTGTTCTGGAGAAAAACATGAACGTACAAGAAAAATACTAAAATTAAAAAAAGCCTGTACTCGAGTAACTATCCCCGAATCATAACCAGAAATTAAAACGACGTTCATTCGGATCAGCTGTCCTATTAATCAAAGCGGGTTTGATGATCATGACACTGAAAAACGACGTCTTTATTGATGCAGGGAAGCGTCACTGTGGCTCGGGACTTTTTATCAAGAGGGACGATAATCTGAACCGGTCCTGGGCCGCCCCTAGGTCGACTCAGCCTTAAATGAGTACCTGGTGCGGTGTGTAACCATCAGCATCGGGAAGAGACAAAGGTGACCGGGCGTGGTGTCGGCCACCCACCGCCTCGCATACTCGCTAGCAGCACTTGCCCCAACAGTTAAGGCCATACGGGGTAGCTTTGTCTTTGTGTGGGTGTGTTTGTCCGTGTGTGCGCGTGGTACGGGGGAGCGGTGGGTGTAGTGGTTAGCGCGCTGTGCAATGAACCTGGCGACCCAAGTTCAATTCCCGCTCACGGCCAACGCCAGTAACGATGGACTAAACAGGTCCTGTGCCTCCCTTAGGTCGACTCAGCCTCAAATGAGTGACTGGTGCGGTGTTTAAACATCGCCACTGGGGAGACAAAGGCGGCCGGGCGTGGTGCTGGCCACCCACCTCTTCGTGTGCCGTTCTGGCCTTCATAGGTGCTGCTCGCTAATTGCACTTGCCCCAGTAGTCTGTTAAGGCTTCACGGGGGATCTTTGTCTATGTGTGTGTGTTTGTCCGTATGTGTGAGTCTATGGGTGTGTGTGACTCTATGTGTGTGTGTTTGTGTGTGTGACTCTGTGTGTGTCTGTGATTGTGACTCTATGTGTGTCTGTGCCTATGGAGAGTGAAATAAGCGCAAATCACAAATCACCCAAACCCAACCTTCACGAAAGGGGGGGTCAGTGAGGGGAGGGGGCTCTCTGCCCCCCCCTCCATCCCATGCTCGTGTGCGCTCCACAATTGTTTTGGGGGATTCATGTATCAAGCTGGGTAAACACGGCGCATTGCGCTGATAATGATGCTCAAAGGCCGTCTTTGTCTCTCTCACCCCCCCATCACCCCAGCACACACCCACGATGCGATAAAAGAAGCCTCAACGCAACACGTGTGTGTGTGTAGGGTGTGTGTGTGTAGGGTGTGTGTGTGTAGGGTGTGTGTGTAGGGTGTGTGTGTGTGGGGTGTGTGTGTCGGGTGTGTGTGTAGGGTGTGTGTAGGGTGTGTGTGTGGTGTGTGTGTGTGTAGGGTGTATGTAGGGTGTGTGTGTGTAGGGTGTGTGTGTGTAGGGTGTGTGTGTGAGGGGTGTGTGTGTATGGGGTGTGTGTATGTAGGGTGTGTAGGGTGTGTGTGTGTAGGGTGTGTGTAGGGTGTGTGTGTGTGTGTAGGATGTGTGTGTGGTGTGTGTGGGGGGGTGTATGTGTATAGGGTGTGTGTGTGTGGGAGGTGTGTATAGGGTGTGTGTGTGTGTAGGGTGTGTGTGTGTGTGGGGTGTGTGTGTAGGGTGTGTGTGTAGGGTGTGTGTGTGTAGGGTGTGTGTGTGTCTGTGTGTGTGTTATGTGGGGAAGCGGTGGTGTAGCGGTTAGCGCGCTGCACGACGAACCTGGCCACCCGAGTTCGATTCCCGTTCACGGCCAACACCGGTGACGCTTATTTGAACTGGGCCTGGGCCTCCCCTAGGTCGACTCAGCCTCAAATCAGTAATTGATGCGGTGTGTAGACATCGCCACTAGGAAGACAAAGACGGCTGGGCGTGGTGTTGGCCACCCACCCCCTCGTGCGCCGTGCCGGCCTTCGTAGGTGCTCGCTAAAAGCACTTGCCCCTACAGTCTGTGAAGGCTACACAGGGGATCTTTGCCATGTATTTGCGTTAGGCGGGGACCGGTGGGGCAGTGGTTAGCGCGCTGTGCTACGAACCACACGACCCTGGTTCGAATCCCACTCACGGCCAACGCATTGACCATTGTCTCTACCGGTCCTGGGCCTCCCCTAGGTCGACTCAGCCTCAACTAAATACCTAGTGCGGTGTGTAAAACATCGTCACTGGGGAGACAAAGGCGGCCGGGCGTGGTGCTCGCTAACAGCACTTGCTCCAACCGTCTGTTAAATGCTGTACGCGGAATCTCTGTCTTTGTTTTGGAAGGAGCGGTGGAGCAGTGGTTAGCACACCTTGCTTAAAGATACGAGTGTAGTTTCAGTGTTGTGACGCAGTGCGCGAATGGACCTCGATGCCCCAGTTCGAATCCACGGCTAAGCATGAACCGCGAGTGATATGAGCCGATCTCGGCCTCGGCTGAGTATCTGGTGTGGTGTGTAAACATCGTGCAGTGGAGAGACAAAGACGGCCGCGGCTCGCGTGGCGTGGTTTTATTTTTTCCCCAGCACCAAGCAGAGGTCGCAAACGGGTTTTGATTCCTTACCCGTACCCGGCTCGTAAACTGGTACCAGTATCCGTACCCGACCGTACCCGTACTCTACCCGTACCCGGCCGGGTACGGGTAGGGTACGGGTATCGGGTACCTGATTGCGACCTCTGGGATGAAGCCATGTTGCAGGCGCGGGTGGGTTGATTCTAGGAACTTGAATTGTGAGAAGAGACAAGACGTTGGGAAATGAGTGACAAACGGTTACTCACCAGTGACTCACGGCCTACCCGTACCCGGCCGCACCAGGGTCGCAAACGGGTACCCGGGCCGGGTACGGGTAGCCGGGTATCGGCTAGGGTACGGGTATCGGGTACCCGGTTGCGACCTCTGGCACCAAGTCACCACTCTGCATCGCACGTGTGTCGTGCCGACCCTTCCTCACAGAGAAGCATCGCCTATCGAGAAACAGCGACCAGTTCCCGAGAATTGGGCTTAGGCAATCCCGACAGACACTGCTGATGATGCACTGAATGTCAAAACCGGTCTAAGAATTTGTGTTACTTGTAATAATGATGCAGTAAAAAAAAACTCACAGGAGGAAGGTCGTGTTGCTGATGGGATGTGTTGGAAAAAAACATCATCTTCTTGGTTCTTTCGGTAAAGTCACGTAGAATGGAAATAATAAAATAATAAAAATAAAACATAATAAAATAATTCTCACGACGTTTCGGCCACAACGCAAGCAGCCGTCCTCAGGTGAAGAACAGGTCTGTCAGAAAGACAGCGTCTACGTGACTTTACCGAAAGAACCAAGAAGATGAATCCCTGCAGTCACGAAAGCTTTAAATCGAAAAAAACATCCATTATGTTTACGTGGAAGGGGAGATATGGGAAGGAGTGTTGCGTGTTAGTTAATTTTGATTCTTAACAGCTGCTCGCAAACTACTGTTCACTCTCTTCTCCGGCAACACTCAACAACGATCTTTGTCCACACGTTCTCTGGAGAACATAATCACGATCAAAACTCAGTTCTTTCTCTCTGCATTGTTGAGTCCGTCAGCCTATGCACTGCCTTTCCAGACAAGGTAATATTTCATCCAGCGACATTTGTTTTAAGCGAGCAAACTCTTGACCGATTTCGACCTTCTGGGTCTCATCAGCAGTTATTTATCATCAGCAGAAGAGGCTCTGGTACTGAGACCCAACTGTTGACGAGACCCGACTGCTGATTTAGACCCAACGGCTGTTGGTAAACAACCTTTTGCTACATCTCCAGATGTTATTGGCAAGAACGCTCCGTAGAAAACAATGGGAACCCCGTTGGTCAAAACACCGCACACACAAAACTCATCTTGATGACTTCGTTGTACACGCGCGCGTGCTGGTGAATGTCGTGTCCGCGAGGTTATTACATATATATAGTATATATATACAGCACCGATATCAACAAACACACTCACTCACACGGGTCTCTGTTATTGTGATCGACCACAGTTGCCCAATATCCACTTCATTATGGAAACCCAAAGCCCTGGAATTGAACGGCACGTTGTCTTTGGGCCACGGCACTTTGTCGCTGGAGGCGCGACTATGTAATAAGTAGCGGTGCGTGTCTGTGTGT